ATAGTGTTGACATGTTGTTTGGGCCTACCTATAATGGTTTAGGCCTTTTTTTGACCCAGCCCAATAATTGTGGGCTCTTACTTTGTTGAATGTAATTAATGACTAATTAATTAGTTCATTGAGTCTGCATATTTTATTTGTCTGATAATATGATTCAGTCTCAAATTGCCTAATCCTGTTCATGTTGTAATGCCTAATTCTATTTATGTTGTGTCAGATTCATATTTAGCTGAGATTTTCTCCGTCACAAGGATCGAACATTTAACTTTTTATTTAACAGATTCGAGTCATTTCTATTCAAATTCGTGAGTACATTTACCATCGATATATCTTAACTTATTTTAATATAATTTTAAATATAAAAATTGACAAGTTGGTTGAATTTATAACATCTAAAATACATAAACTTCCGTAACAAGCCAACGAAGCTTGCACCTTGGAATTTGGCTATGGTGTAAACAGAAAGAGATATCATAATCACAACTTTTATTGAGGTTTGGGTCCGTCTGAAATGTGATGAGTACTAAGCATAGTATAAAATCCGACATCATAATGTACAAAAAAATGTATACTATGATTTGTTGTCTATTACATAGAAATTTCAAAATTTTACATTCATTCATTTATTTATTTTGTATTATTTGAGAGAGTATTAGGAATTTAAACTTTGAAGATTCTTTTTTTTTTTTTTTTTTTTTTTTTTTTTTTTTTGACAATTTAGGTTACATTATTATGAAATTTCTAGAATTTGATTGAAATTATTACTCTATCTTACTATTGAGAAACTATTACGAAATTTTTGAAATTTGGTTCCATAAAACAGCTTAATCCTTTTTGACCAAAAATGCTATTGTCACTGTTAAATACCTTTTGACTATTTAATCATTAATATATATAATAATATATTGTTATTATTTAATTTACTACATTACTATCAAATTATTATTTACTGCTTCACTTTATTTGAATAAATAACAAAAAGGACTCTTGTTGTGTAATTCGTATTGTTATTTCGGCTCATAAAAACTTTCAATAAATTAAAAAAATAAAATAAAATAAACCAATTAGTTTAATGGTATCAGATTTTATGGACTTTGCGGTAAATTTTGATAACGATAATATCAAAGTAGTAATTTTAGTCAAATAGTTTAATGGTACCAAATTTGAGAAACTTCGTGATAGTTTACCCAATGATTTATTGTTAACTAATAATAACTAATCATGTACCTCTGCGTTACGTTAGTACAACATATTGCTCTATTATATTTAAAATCAATTTATTCCTATAAAATAAAGAGAATTTACATTATTGTTACTATAATAAAAAAAATTATATTTAGTTTTTTTTATACTTACACAAGATATCCAGATTTGTATCCATTTCAACAGTCCACAAATCTAACTAATCATTGCTCGCTTTCGGAGGCAAAAGGGCTAGTCTAAGGGGAGTTTGCATTGTAAAGTATCGAATCCATAACCTAAATCATGATAATCAATCCCATAATTGCTATTTGCTACTAAGCTACCTCATTTAAGTTATGATTATTATTATTATTATTATTATAAGTAACCCACTGCGTTCGAATATCAACTATATATATATTGAGTTTAACAATTTAAAACATATAAAAGAACTAAGCAGGAAAACTTATTATTTTCTCCATTTCAAAACAAGTGTCTTTTTTTTTTTTTCAAAATAAATGTCGTTTTTATAATTTCAAGACTATTAATTTTTTCTTTCCTAATATACTCTTACTTATTTAGTATTAATTATTTAAATTTATGAGTGCACTTAATTTATTTATGATGTGATCATTTATTAAAAAAATAAAGACTTTTATCGTTTTAGAATGGGAATAGTCAATGATTTTATTAATTTTTTACTTCAATTCCATTGAAAAATATAAAAAATCAAAATAAAAAATAAAGTGTTTTATATATTTGTATGGATATAAACATTATGCCATTAAAGATTCTTCCCATTTGTACCTAAAAAAAAAAAAATCAAAATCTTGATTATATTTAGATATGTTATGTAATTGATGAGAGGAATAATTTCATTGTGAGTGGAAATTAGAATAAATGTCATATTATAAACTATTTTCTTCTCATTACTTGACAAATTGCATCTACACCATTAGTGTTTGAAAATTTTTCCCCCCAACTTCTAAATAAGGCTTGCTATAGAACTATAATGAAACCATATTATCCAAAGAGAAAAATTCTTGTTGTCTCAATAAAACTTTTTGTCAATAATTTATAATAATTGATATGAGAAAGTGGTTGCACACTTGCATTAGTTGCTTGCCTAACACTTAGAAATTAGAATGATTGTTGGAGTTGGAGATCACAATTCACAAATACATATCCTAATAGTTTCATTCTCTTAAATAAATTCTAATATTCTAGAAAAAATATATATGAACTAACTCCAATATTAAAAAAAAAAAAAAATACATATATCGAATTGATGGTTTGATCAAATTTTAACTGAATTGAATTGACTAATCGAAAAAATTGAATTATAAAAAAGTAGAAATAAAATTGAATCCGTTTTGTTAAGAATCAAATCAAATTGAAATATTTTGATTTTATTGTAAGAAAACTGAATTGTTCTAAAGAGAAAATGGCTCAAGATAGCCTTCCACTTGACTACTCAAATTACTGAAAACTTTTATGGTTAAGATGATTCAAACTCGAGATTTCTCACTCTTCACATCAGTAAGAAGACCAACCAGACCACATCTAATTAGCTGATTTGATTTATTTTTTTATTTGAACCAAAATTTGTAAAAATCAATTACTTCCATCTATTAAATTTTCTTCCCTAAAAACAAAACCAAGCTTATTGGTTTATATTAATTGTATAGAATATGATTTTATTAAGATGCTCATGAAAATTTAAACTATCAAAGAAAAAATTACAAGCCAATATGAAAATAAATAGCATAGGTCATTTAAAATATTCATAAATAAAATGTGATATGATGTTTGGACGGCTGAGAATATTGTACAGATAAAACCTAATGAATAGAATTTGAATAATTAGATTAGATGATTTATTTATTTATTATACGGACATAAAAACACAATGGCTGTAGTCACCAACAAGGTTACATAAGCTAAATGTAATTCCCCTATTAAAATATAGCTTACGCATCAAGACAATAAATGATGAATCAGCCAATGGATAGAGTTGCTAAATTTTCAAGTAAACTTCAATTTTCTTTCCTTGTCTGTTTATGGTAGGGTGACATAATCTTAAGTAGAACAAAATATTATATGAATCCTCAATTTATAAGAGCCAAATAGCACTAAATTTCTAAATCAATAATGATAATTTTAAAAACAAGTACAAAATTTGCTGGTGGTTAAAAAATTTACAAAAATAAAAATTCGAATTAGCTTTAATTTTTTTGCTTACAGGGTAATTTAACACTCGAAATATCTCACGTTTACAGGTTTTAAAAAGGTTAACATATGTTGTTTTTTTCTAATGGCTTTCATAACTAGAACAAAAATATATTTTTTTGAAAAAAAAGAGGAGGCTCATGTTATTAGTCGTATAGGGCCACTTGAAAAGGCAATAGCTAGTTGAAACTAAAACAGCATTGTCTTTGGTGAAAATGACAATAAGGTTAGAGGATTTCTATGGAATAAGATAATTAAAAAGTAGAAAAGGAACTAAATTATTGGATATAAAGGAGATTTTGCAATAAAGCTATTCCAAGAACAGGAAAAAAAGAGAGTTGGACAGTAGACAATGCTATTCTATCTATACTTAGGTCGGTTTGAATACGGAGTTGAAATTGGAGCTAATTTTGGAGATTGAGATTAATATGGGTGGGACCATTCCACATTTTTAGGTCTCTGATGCATCTGATTAATTTACATCTGGGGAGATAAGGCAAAGCCAATCTGCTCAATCGGAGTAGCTTCGGACCTACTGATTTGAAACCTTCTTTTGACCTTCTCATCGTGGATGAACAGAGAGATAGACATGTGTGTTTTAATTTTCAAATTGACATATAGAGCCACACAAAACATATTAATCCAATGGCATACTACAGTAATTCTAGCAATTGCAGTTATTTTTTTAAATCATTCTCTTATGTTAGAATTCAAAATTTCATTCACCAGAGATCCTTATATCATTGAACTCTTTCGTGATTCACTAAAGAATGCTTATATCACTCAGTTAAAACTTATTAGTAAATTTATTTAGATTTAGTTTCTAAGGTTTGATTTTAATTATTAATTTTGATTAAATAACTATACCATCTTAATATTGAATCTTTATATTAAATCCTCTCGTACAAGAATATTATTTTTTTTATCATTAAGTGAAAAATTAAATAGTAACATTATATCAAATGTTAATGATTAACAGTTAAAATGATAGAACTTAACTTTTTGGATTGAAAATTTTTCCAAACAACAAAAGATGAAAAAGCAATTTTAGTCAAATTTCAGGGACTTCATAATAATTTATCATTTATATTATATTAACACATATTAAATGCTGATGATTGAAACCATCTGATGAAACCCCCCCCCCCCCCTTTTTTATCATTAAGTGATAATTAAAGTGTAACATTATATTAAATGTTAATGATAACAGTTTAAATGTATAGAACTTAACTTTTTGGATTGAAATTTTCAAACAAAAAAGATGAAAAAGCAATTTTAGTCAAATTTCAGGGACTTCAGTATAATTTAAGTCATTTATATTAATTAACACATATTAAATGCTGATGATGAAACCATCTGATGAAACCCCCAAAAAAAAAAAAAAAAAAAAAAGTGGCTAAAATCTAACTTCTTGGCATTTTAAGGAATTGTCAATGGCAACCTATCAGTTCAGATCCAGATTTCCAGCGGTCGATGGGATAGGTGTGAAGGGCAATCATTCCAGTTATCTGAGTTTCCCTCGACAATGCTGGAGAGGTTCTCAGATGCTCTTAGATCGGGGGTTGAGGTGTTCTAATCAAGTCACAATATGCAATATAACATTCCTGACTTATACCATTATCTCTGCAATCAGAGCAAATAATTTTCGACAATATATAGAGAAAACTTCTTATCTAAATTTCACAGAGCTGTTTCAACTTATTCAAACTGTTTAAGTGGATTATAGGACCCTATTAGATCTCAGAAAGCATATCCCAAAAAATAAAGCCAAAGGGAGAGATACACTCTTGCAAAGCTAGTTCTACTCTTTTTAAGTAAAGTCACTGCCAAATTCATCTCATCTGAGAATGCTGCTTGGTGGGGGAATCTGTCTCCTGGATTTGTTGTTTTCCATCAAAATTATGTGCCTTTGCGGTTCTTTCAGCTTCAGCTTTTTCAAGCATAGCCTGTATTTGTGCATTTGCGGTTTTTTCAGCTTCAGCTTTTTCAAGCGTAGCTTGCGTTTGCATAGCCTTCATCATCTCCTTCATCGACTTATCTTCCCCTTCAAGCTGCATCTTCATTATAATTTCAGCTTCCTTGTCAATTGGCTTAAAGTACTCTTCAATGGCTGCCTCCTACACATCAAGATCATCACATTTCAACATTAGATAGAATCAGAATCAATATATTATTGACAATTCACTTGCTTTTGCTGTTAATTGCATTTGAAACAGAATATATAGAAACAGAATATTATATATAATATATTTATATATATATATATTAGATTCTACGATCAGCAGATTATTTCTATATTAGATTCTACGATCAGCAAGATATTTACACTTTTAAAAAGAATAAAATGAGAAGAAAAAAATAGGGAACAAATTGTGCAATAAATCAGTCTTTGAGGCATTGATTTCTTGTCTTTGGTATCAGGGTTCTGGGAGACCTAAGCTCATCCTTATCAAACCCATATGACGGTTGACAGGAGCAAACACTTGAGCCTTGTTTAAATGAATTACACAAAGAATTTGTAAAATTCATTTCTCATTCATATTTTCATGTTTGGTATGAAAGAAGATATTAATTTACCTTCTGAATTCAGCAAAACTAAATCAAACTCGATCATTCATAAATGAATTGTATACTTTAAATTCATTTATACAAAACAAAGAGCTACTGGGAGCAAAATTAGTTGAAATAATTAATAGCTTCCTCCTTGGGAAAAAAAACCTGACCTACGCTACCTATTCTAATGCACTATATACATGAGGAAGGCAAGAAACCCTGCCTGTCAGGTTGCAAAGTGGATGTTGCCTATGCTGTTATTAGGATGTAAAAACAAAGTGATTAAGGTGAGGAGTCCCTACGTCCATCGATTTGGGAGAAATTCCTAGAGAAGAAGTGATTAAAAATTGTGAAAACAGTAAAAAATCATATTTAAATTAAATAAACCACATTCCAGATTATGCCAACGAATGTTCCACCGAACCCAAAAATGGGGGAATGACCAAGGCATATGCTCTTTGCATAACATGCACATAAAACTATTTTTCATTTGAAATAAAATGTTATTGGATTCATATAAATCTCCAAAGAAGTGAACTAAGTAAAACTTAACGATTTTGATCCAATGATGCTGAAGCAATGTGGCTTATTAAATACAACTAAGAATTTTGTTCTCTCTTTCTGTAGTTGGGAGTTATGATGAAGAAAACAGATCAATAAAAAATTTGAATTAGGAAATCTTCTCCACAGAACGGACATAACCTTATTTAAAGACCCTTCCCTCAATCACATACCAATTCACTAATTTTTCAATACTTACAGTTTCTTCTAGCTTCTTGTTTAAAGTTTGCATCTCCTCAACCATACGGCGAACCTCTGATAATATAGCCTGCTCAGGGATCTTTCTCAAGGCAGCCTTTCTTTCTTCTGCCTGTACAGAGACTAAGAGCTCATAAAGATGGAAAGTATTTGGAAATAAAGTCATCAGGATTTTCAGAACCAAATTTCCACAGCAAATGCATATGATAAGCTGGGAACTGTAGATTTCAGAAAAGTTAAACGACAAAGAATAGGATGAATAGTCTGTTAAACAAAAAAAGAACAGTCACTTCAGTGTCTTTGGTTTTTTGAACATTTTGGTTTGATTCTGTCATATATCTAATTATTTTATTCTTCCAGTTTGGCTGAAAATACCTATACTAAAAGACTGAACCAACTGATTGCTAACACCAACCTTAAATGAACAAAAAGAACAGTACAGCTTCTCATTCTGTTAGACCAATAAAGCATGCTTAAACGTGATTATCATAATATCATTTCTGTTATACACAAAGATCTGGTCTGCCGACATAAAATAACTTAACTTCAGATTAGCAAAAATTTGGTTCAAATTAGTCAAGTCCTGGACCACTTGGTGTATTTCAACATTTTCCCTTTAATAGTCCCCAGAACAAGGCAAACGGTTATTGTTTGTTTAAAAGCAGCTTCAGAGTTGAAAACTCCTATTAGTTCCTATTAAAAGTTTAAACAATGTAATAATATTATATTGTTCAAATTATTGCCAAATGAAAACAAAGTTTAGTGCTATTAAAAACTGGCTCACAGAGAATGAATACATTGACTAAACAAGAAGCCTAGCATCTTTTATAGCTCCAAACACAGCGCAGACCACTATAATATCTCCTTAATAATGCATCGGCACTTACCATTGTTTCTAATGCAAGTGGATTTACCGCATGCAACACGCTGGAGTAACTAAATCAAAAGAATAAATATTAACAACATCTAAAAGACAAACAAATTCATCATAGCAACACAGCAAAGTAGATGAGGATAATTAAACTGACCTGTTGGAGACGCCTCTCAAGCTGTAATCTAAAATTTCGAATTCGACGTTCTTCATAACCAGAAAGAACCCTCACATAGAAAAGTGCTTTCCTCCCAAACTCCAATAACTTATTCATATTATAATTCAGCTACAAACATTAAATGTTACCTACAAACACATCTGCAAAGTTCAGTAACATTAGAATCATATCTTTCAGGTGTTAACAGTAGTACTATTATTTAAGGATAAGGAAAAAGGGTAGAACATCTCACAGTCCTCATTGCAAAATCAGTAATTTGGATTCTAAGAAAAAATATATATTTTGAAGACAACCGATCCCCAGAAAACCCCCTCTACCCTTCTCTCCCCAACATTACACCACAAATTTCTACAGTGATCCTTAGATATAGCCACCTGATTGCGGAAGAGGTCAATAGAAGCCAATAAAACTAGTAATGGAGAAAAAAAAAAAAGCCTGATACAGCAACACCTAAGCCTTTGGGCCGCCCGGGGGGGGGGTTGAATATCAATTAGAATCACCAAAAAGAGCTCTATTGAAGATTGCTTATAATATATCCATTCCCACACTCCAAATGTTTCCACTTGAACACGACAGGGGGGGTTGAATACAATAGAATCACCAAAGAGCTCTATGAAGATTTTTATATATATCCATTCCCAACACTCCAAGATGTGCCACTTGCGACATTTGAGGGGAATTGACATAATTTTGCAAAAATTATTTGCATGGAGTGTAAGCTGAGTAAGAAATCATTTAAACATCTAGTTGTATGATAGGCATATTCTAACCCATTGCTGTTATGCTCCTAGGATAGTGCATCCTTCAAAATTTAATTCTGGCACCAAGCTTACAAATACTCGTGTTGTTACCCTAACTAAGATCCATTTTATTCCAAGGAAAAACCTTGGATCATCACTGTTTCCTCAATTCAATAACACTGGTCAAACGACTGCGTTAAAGTCAAATACAGAAAATGAAGGATAAACTGCCAGATTTTCATTTTTAATAATTTACACCAGCGAAAAGGTTCAAATGGTGGTATCCAGAGATAAATCAATAGAGATCAAGTTACTTCTTCATTAAGAGGCGATTAACATATTATCCAGGTAACTTAAACAGTGTTGCAACAGTAAATAAGATTAAAGAAAAAAGAAAATAATATCCAATGGACAGGTGGATTAGAAGAAGCTTGCGATTCACCATGCTTATTATCCCATTCAGCGGAAATATTAGCTTAAAACCAAGCTCAAGAAACCTGTTATTAAACTCAAACCCTAATGACCAATAATTTTATCCTTTAACTGTAATGTCAGACCAAGAGTATTACTAGTATGATAAAAGAAATTAGAATTTCATCTGTCATTTCGCTTTTCCCTGATTTTCAAGGCAACCAAACAGACAAGATGTGATTGAGATAAGCAAAAGAGAAAAAAACCTGGATCTGGACAGAAACTTCAAAAGGACTACAGAAACAGCTCCGCTGATAGAGGAGAGTAACCAGCAATCAGGATTGGAGAGAGGAACTTGGATTACTGGCTTGCTAATGGGTGAAGAACGACAAGAACCGAAGACAAAGGGGACCGGGAAACTGAGAGGGGATAAACGACAGCGTTGATCAATTGCCAACATATTCGTTTGGGTAGTACCTTCAAGAACCCAAAATACTACTCACGGCCCACGGCCCGCAGCAATATGCAATTCTTAATTAGTAAATAATACTCAATCCGCTTCATTAAATTTCACAGTTTTTTTTATTTTTTCCCATTTAAATTAAGTAGTGTTGATCATTTTATTTTAATTTTTTATTTAGATATCTGTGCTAAACTTTATCTCAATTAAACAAGCATTAATTAAAAGGTAATTAGATTACTTTTTTTTATATATATAGTTAAGGTGATTCAATCTTTTTTTTCTTTAATTCTTGTAAAAGGTCAAAAACTGTCATATTTAACAACGGAGTGGAAACTAAATTTAATGCAACTTTTTATTTGAAATGAATAAATAAATTGGCACCTAATAGTTTTTGTGTCAAAACGTTAGTATTGCTTTTGTTATCAGCTTCAATTTATTGCATGACATTAGGTGACTAACAAATTAGCAAGGACCAAAAAATTTTATGAATTAAACAAGTTCGGTTGTTTTTGGTTTTTTTAACTCTTTTGTCCAATTTTAACTTTTTAGCAACCTTGACTATAACTCACTACCATTAATATGCCTAATCTCAGTTTAGTTTCGATTCCTATTTTTATAATCAATTAATTTATGTGACTTTATTATTCTTTGTTTCTTTCCGCGGTTTCTATAGCCTTCGCACCACTATTCCTCGTTTATTCTGGAACCAATCCCCATCGTATACTTGTGATGGGTTGAGCGGAGAGATGTCAATTTATCAAGAAAAGAATGTGATGGAGCGACAAAACTGAAATGATCTGAATCAAGTCATTCCATATAACCAATGGGCCAGTGGCTATGGCTCATCGCCACAGACCCACAGCCCAGCACATTAATTACATAGCGATTTACTCCGGAAGTTAAACCGATACATAATATTCCAAAATTAATATACAGCAACTCGTAAAACCCACAAGCTTCTCTGCATTTGAAATTATCAAAACCACACATATATCTTGCACAAAAACAAAAGTACCAATCCTTCTCTAGTTACATTGATTAGGCTGCTAAAAGCAAAACTCTAAAGACAAACTGGTTCTTCTTTAGAGCAGTGCAAGGGTCAAAGAAGCATCGTGTTATTACATCTCAGGATTTAGCTCAATCTCTTCTTTTCTTCTTCTTCTCGTTCCTCTCTGATGAATTCTTCAACTGCAAAAAGTAGATCAACATTTTGTTAGTGTTGATATGCATCCGATATTTGAATGATTAGATCCGCATTTGCGCACTTAGTCCAACCCACCATAATTATGAGAATTCGCACAAAGACAGCAACAAAGTCAGTGAAAAGGTTCAGAGCATGCTTCACATAGTCCAAATCACCAACGTGAGCTTTCTCAATGATGTCCTGGGTGTCAACAACCACGTAGCCAACGAACACCAAAAGACCAAAGTATAGCTGCAAAATATTATCAAGAGCAAGGTAAAGATGCTGTTATGGAAACATAAGAAACAGCATGGAACCAATAAATGGTAGAAGTAGAAAGCATGGTTGCAAAAAATGTTGACAACTAACAATCCCCTCACCTCAAACTTGAATATAGCTGCAGATCCCCCAAAGATGGAGGAGGCAAACTGCAACCAGAGAAGGATGGACAAGCCAGATGAAAGCAAGCCACCAAGATATAGGTATTCTCTACGCCTTGCCAACGTGGCTGCCGCTGAGAAACAACCAAAGGCCACCGAAGTTCCCACAAATGCTGTGATCAGAACACTGTCACAAGGGTGAAATTTTATGTAAAAAAATTAGCACAATGCTCCAACAAAATGTAAGTTGGGGGATAATAATACCGACTTCGCAACTACCAAAATATCTACCAATTCAACCAGGTAACATATGCAGAACAGTATATAATACGCCAAAATAAAAATAAAAATAAAAAAGTGATCATTCTCAAGCACTGTGGGAGCGAGTAATTTTGAATCATCCAGTTCAAATCGATACCCAACTAAACCTGCAATTATGAATTCAGCAAGAAAATACACATCATAAAAATTGCTACCATAAATGACATGTACCTTGGATCGATCTCAATGGCCAAATCAATCAAAGGACCAACTGAAGCCCCTTCAAGAAGTGCAGCTGCCATCAAAAGAGAGACTCTCTTTTGCTGCTCCGACAAAAGAAAGAGGGCAAAAATTTGAGTAAAGACCCCACCCAGAAGAAAAATTCCTTGTGAATAAAGCAGAAAGCAAGATATCAAGATGGACGAAACCCTACCTCTTCATAAGGAGGTACAGAAAGTAGCCAAGCCATACATCCCAAGCACGCAAAAGTTGTCAGAAGACCACCAATATTCCACAGAATGTGCAAGTAAGCCCCAGCAGCCGATGCAACCAGTGCGCAACATAAGGTCAAATAGACCTGCAAGTTAAGAAATTGAAGCAACGAAAATTTCTACGATCAACTTGCTTCAAGTATTCAAGCTCCAAATATATTTGAGAAGTAAAAGTTCTGAACAGAAACAAATAGAGAAAAAGACTCTCGGACATATCAGAACGAACACTACATACAGGATAATTATTGGATTTAAAATACAAACCTAATTCAAGAAGAAATTCAACACATAAACATAATTTCAAATGTTGTATTCTTAATATTTCAACACATATATCATAGACCTCATATTTCTAGGTACGAAGATGGAAAAATGAAGAATTAACACACAAGAATATTGACCTAATATGATGCATTTTCAATGGAATACTTTTGCTAAGGAGCAGATCCAAAAAATTTTCCCACAGCCAAACACAATCTAAAAGATTCAAAAAAAAACTCCAATTCAGAAACATATATCTACCGCAAATTTACCTCAATACAGTGTAATCCACGGACAAACGAATAGCATAAAAGCGAACATGATTAAAGAAAGCTAAATGGTTCCAGTAATTTCTCGTCACGAAAACTCACTCAGTGATAGAACATAACCATATAAGACGGGAAAACCTATATGTCCCTTAAACTGATGGGAATTTAACTAAATACACGATTATCCTAATTTATACATTACATGGCACAAGATCTCAAGTCAAACCAAAATTATCCAATTCATAACAAATTATACCTGCTTAAGGTGAGTTTGGACGACAGGAGAGATCTGGCGGAAGTTCTTCAGCGAATCGTAGGTCCAGCTACTCCTTGAAGCCGATTGGGAGTCGAAGAACGACGCGAACGCGTCCATTGATTAGAGAAGGAGAGAACGAGAATACGACCGAGGAAGTGCGAGAAAATATGAAACAAAATGACAGATCGGTTGAAGAAGACGTTCGGGACGATTCTATGAAAAATTGAAGATGGTATATGTATATTGAAACCCAAAATGACAATTCGTTGAACGAAGACGTTCGGGACGATTCTATGAAAAATTGAAGATGGGTATATGTATATTTTAAGTATATATACGATATATATAATATACGTAATAAATTAAATAGGTATCAGCTGTGGTTAGTTTCCTAGAAAATTTCTGAAATTTTTATAAATATAATATACGTAATAAATTAAATAGGTATCAGTTGTGGGTTAGTTTCCTAGAAATTTCTAGGAATTTTTAATTTACATCCTACCCTTGAGTCCTTCCACGATTTCTTATTTCATGCTGGTACAATGACAATTTTATCCCGTTTGATTATATTTTTCCCAATTAGGCATCCGACCCGAAATTCATTAACTTGTAGAACATTCTGGATCTTCGATTTTGTTATTTAATGTTGAACATTGTTCAAAATTTCAGTATTTTAATCTTAGAATAATAAAACAATATAAAATATTAATTATTTCATTTTTTTTCTTTTCAGAATATATTTCATACTTTTATTTTCTTTGGCTTATAATAAAAAATTAAATTACTTCTTGAATTATTCAAAAGCATTAGAAGATTTTGGAAAAAAAAATATTTGTCAAATGGGGAAGGAGAAATGGGTCATAAAACAAAAACCTACGCAGTTCGTAGAATATCAGAGCCAGGTGCAATCTGGGAAATAAAAAAGGTCATTCTAGAGAATTCGCGGTTGAGTTTTGACTTGGTGTTTCTTTATTCTTTTTATTCCTTACCGTCCGATATCTTTTTTAATGGGGATGACATGGCACACGCAGTTGACAAGCAAGAGATCTTATGCATTTGCACGATAGGAACTCACTTACCTAATAATCAACGTCTTTATTAGATAATTAGATAGCTTTGCCACCGAGGAATATACCTCAAACCCTATTTACTAACGGAGAGAGGAAATTCCACCCTGGCAAATGCTACGTCTTACAACCAATACCATCATGCCATGTCACCATCAAACCCAACAACAGTTTATTGTGCATAAGACGGCATACGAAAAAGAGCTTAGCTATTTCTGCTCGAGAATTAGACAAATGTATACAGTTTCATCTGTGATTCTTATGACCAATAAAAATACAACATGCTAAGATTTTACTAGATAATATAGAAAAACAAAACGAAGGCAGTAGCACATTTACAGGAACAGCATTAGAGTAAGAGAATAGTATTATAGCTACAAACAGAATGTTAAACTAAAATTAATTGAAGTTTTGTGTACCATCTATTTATAACTGATCATCAACTTTGCTGATGAGAAATCTTCACAGGCACTCCATTTCCAGTGCTTTGTCCATGTAGAGGAAGACTAGTTCCAGTTTCCAAGCTGAGGCCCTGTCTTAGCAGCCTTTGCTTTCTTAGACCCTCATGGCATGGAACGAAAAACTCGTGTTTTAATGCATCCTCTGCGCTGATCCTCAGCCTTGGGTTCACTGTCAGGCACTTGTCCACAAGATCAATAAGAGAGCTTGGGATTATTTCATTGAATTCTCGTCTCTTTGTGTTTATTTTGCACCACTCTCTTAGACTCACTGATGGCAAAGACTGTAATTTGTATAGTTCCTGCAGGAAAATGAATCTTTTAAATGTAAATTTCAAATTCTGATGAATTTGTTTATAGTCTAGAACGCTGCTATGAACTATAACTACCGCTGGGAAAGACAATTCCCGGTCATGTAACTTTGAAACTTCCCATAGATCTTCACTGCCCCTTAGTTTTGCTATATCCTTTATGTTCCTGGAAACAGCAATTAAGTGGTTGGCAAAATAGTGTGGGTAACACAGAAGTAAGCAGAAATGATTTGGATTAGAATTAATAATACTTACTGCTCTGGATCACCGTAAAACGGTGTTCTTCCAATCATTAGGTAGAGTAAGGTTACCCCAGCAGACCAAATATCAACTTTGGGTCCTTGATGGGTAGATCTGAACAAGACCTGAAAGAACCAATATCTCATTACAAGATGTTACCCTTCATACTTTTACTATTGTTCATTACAGCTATTGCATCTTTTTCCTTTTTTTTTTTTTTTTATCAATTACTCTAATCTCTATCCAGATTTTGTAAATGTTATTCTAAAACCATACAATAGATGCATTAGAATAAACAAATACGAAATCTGCTAGCTGTTTAATTACAATCATAATAGAACAATTTCCACGCCAACTATGGTTCAGCATCATAACATGCACGAATCCAGATTTTAGTTTGCTCTGATACTTCAGTAGCTAGTTAACAAATTTTCCAGTGCTAAGTCGCCATTTAACATTCTAATTATCTATAATTTGAAAAAAAATTCATTGGTAGCAATTGAGAGAATAAAATTATGGTAGTTATACTAATGAAATGGTCTCACCTCTGGAGCCCGGAAACCTTTGGTTCCAACACATGGACCTTCTTTCTTGTGATTCCCATCTTCTAATGACAAAAAAAATATGATGAATACAAGAAAAGAACACAGCAGTGACAAATCAATCGCTGAAGTCATCAGACACAAACCTTTATTCTTAATTAAGCAGGTTGCAGGACTAGCAATTCTGGTTGAATGCAGAGGCATTGGGGTGAGATTAATAAGTATTTCATCCACTTTTCGAGCAGGCGCAGCAATCCTCTTTCTCATAGAAGCTGGAACACTTGATGCTTCATGATTTGGACTCTGCATAGCCTCTTGTAACAAGCTGATGAGTTCCTTCCTACCTTGGCATGGTAAAGGTTCTCGGAGCCTTTCTACTGAAGGAGTCCTAGTACTTGTTACATCCTTTGCGGAGGTTATGCCAGAGCCATCTGCTCCTTGACTTTTCATAATATTCCAACCACTCAAGTCATTCTGGGCCTTAGTTCTGTCTACAGCTCTCTTCTTCTGGTTCTTGGGTTCTAAAGTTGGCTTCAAGCCTTTCATTGACTTCAGATTGACTACATCCAAAGATTTAGAATTTGGGAACCTCCTACTTTTGGCAGGAGGAATAGATTTGGTGTTGGGAAGCGTATTGTGATTGAGGCTTACATCATTCCCTGTCTTTGATTTGTCTGCAAAAGTACAGAAGGAGTTTATCAATATCCTAACAAACAAAAGATCAAAGAACAAATAACTTCTTGCCAAGAAATCTTTGTAGCATAACTGGCTATAATTCTCTATAGTTGCAAAGCTTGGAAATGAAGACTAGCAAATAAAAGGTTAAAAAGGGTAGTCGCCAAAGGGAAAACATGCACAACAACCTACTTAATGGCAAATGCATCACGTGAAATGTTTATGTTTCTTTTTGTTAAGTTCACAAACTAGCACACCGAAATCTCTGTGCCAATATAGACCAATTTGTTCTCTAAATTAAACCCATGCTAGTGCTATATTTAAATATAGAAGCTCAGATAGGAATACAGACTCACTTGTTGTTCCATACTTTTGGCGAAGATCCTGTCAAAAGCACAATAAATACAAGGACGAAAGTCATTAACCCTTTAGTGTAACGATGACACAAGTGAAAAAAACTAAGTGGGCATCAAAATGTGTTTGAAAAAATATAACTAACCATGGCAAGGTTAAAATCAATGAGATAACCTTTATTGGCCTTGCGAGAAAAAAGGAAGTTTCCAGGCTTGACATCTCTGTGGACTATTCCCTGCAATATGAAAAGTAAAATCAAGATTCTTCATTCGTACAAATAACATGAAGTCGGGATAGGATTTATGTGGCAGCACATTTCACCTGCTTATGAAGACTAGCAAGCGCTCTGAACATGCAATATCCATACCATCGTAGCTGAAAAATATCTATTTCCTTCTTCAAAACCTTAAAGTTAAAGCAGAACTTACATCAATCAATTAGACCAGCAAGCTTTATCCATTGAAGGTTGGGATGATTACCTCTGGTCTATCATGCTCCACATGCTCCAGAACAAAGCAATCAGAATTTCCACTCTTAAAACAGCCTTCATACTTTATTACAAAGTTTTTCCCCCTGAATTAGTCAAATTAACTTGCATATTGAAGATTAGAACTTTCTACAATAAAAATTAAAGCACAAATTCTTTAAGTGAATTGCAATTTCCTAAAGTCTTACCCAAAGCGTTCCAGCATCCTTAGCTCATTGCTAACATGGTGCCTATGAGCATTTTCATGTGGGCCTGTAGAGCCCAAAGAAAAGAATTAACGAGGTATTTCTTTTATTGATAAATCATTATCACAAACAGTTTTTTTTTTTTTTTTTTTTTTTTTTTTTGCCTAGGAGCATTTTCATGTGGGCCTGTAAGCCCAAAGAAAAAAGAATTAAACGAGGTATCTTCGTTTATTGATAAATCTTATCACAAAACATTTTTTTTTTTTTTTTTTTTGTTTTGGGTTTGGGGTGGGATTTTTTTTTTTTTTTTTTTTTTTTTTTGGGGTTTGGGGGGTGGGGAGGCCTCCTGAGTGAAATGGATCACTGCATACTGCAGTTTTCTCATCAAGAGGAAGGTGTCATGCAAGAACCGGTAATTCTACTAATAGTGAGCTGTGAGCCAAACTATAATAACATATTCTTGTATAACTTTGTACAAGTTTGCGAAAATTGAAGGATTTTCCGGTGCTTTCTTCATGGATTATCTTGCTTCATAACAGGAAATGAAATAACCTACAATCTTTCCACACATAGTGGCTAGCAGCCAGAGTTACACAATTTTACAGTAGACGATTTCCAGCATACTCAAAGATATGAACATGGAAACCATGGCTAGACATAATCATGCTGATTAAAATTTGCAGTAACAGAAACGGGAATAGGCAACAGCATGACACATAAAAATAATTCTACATACATTTGATGGCAACTGTGGCTCCATCACTCTTCCTTCGTGCTCTGTAAACAGTGCCATAACCACCTGGAAGCTTTTAACTGTCAATATCCATAAAATGTGAACAGATTGAGAAATATGGCAAAATTGCAGAAGGGAAAAAAAGCTTTAGTACCTGAACCTTCTTCCTCCTCTACAATATAAGACTCAAAATATGGTAGATCCTTGGTTTCAGTTCCATTCTGCCAATTAGCCACCGTTAGTTCCTAATCAAAGGAAATGGAGCTAACTAATAGTAGCACAAATGATGATAAGTGAATAAGCTTTATTTAGAACATGTAAACAAAGAAAGCAATCAACCACGTTAAAAAATAAGCATAGAAATTGCAGAGTAAAACTTACTAAGGGAGAAACAGGAGCAGCATTCTTCCTGCCTTCTTTAATATAAATATCACCACGTTTCTCCTTTGATTTTTGAGCCATATCAATTTCCATGAGATTTCTCTTAACCTCTTGCTTTTCCTTAGGAGTGCTTACTACTTTACTCCCCACTAAAGATTGATCAACATTTTGCTGTCTTGGTGGAGTCATTACATTCCCAAAAGTGAGCTTCATCTTTGCAGAGGGTTTTGACAACTGCTCCTGAACTACAGAGAGTTTAGATATTGGATAGTAGGTCTGGTTCTTCGCATTAGTTAACTCTTTACCCAAAGGTATTAACTCATTCTTCTTTGTACATACACTTTCAATGGGTACACCCAAAAGAACAGTATTAATTGGATGGTAGAAGTTTTCTTCTTGTTTAATGTTACTAGAATCATTTAATAACTCCTCTTCTTTGAGTTCAGTTTCTACTGCTTCAATATAACAATCATTTGCAGCATCACAAGCATCATTAGCACTTGCATGCACCATTGGTATAACACTGCTTTGCCTAAAATCTTCCCTATAAGAAGTAGCATCGACGTCTGTTCTACTTTTTAAATCTACCTCTTCTACTTCAGCTTCTTGGCACACAACTTGACTATCCAACGTTGTTCTCATAAGGGCAGATTCTTCATCCAGCACAGGTGCCATGATTCTTTTGTGTTCCATCCTTTCTACAATACTTGTATGTGTTCCGTCCTCAACTTGTTTGACATTCCTTCGTCTATAGACTAACTTATTTCTGATGGTTTTGGTGAATAAATCAGGTGGCGGAAGAATGTTATTTAGCTTAATAGACATGAAACTTGGCTCAGCATTTATGCTTATATTGACATCGTTAGTTACGAAATGCACCTGTATAATTAACACCATTTAATGGTCATTATGAAGAATATATTATCTGCACAAAATATAATTAGATAACAAGCATATTAAGCTCTAGAAAGACGCATTCAAGAGGGCATACTAATTACTAAGTAACTTCAAACTCTACAGTGCTAACTGTGCATCTATTCCTGATGAAATCAGTAATCATCAAACTCGAAGTTTAATTATCCTGAAATCTTAACATTACGAACTAGAAACTCGAGCAAATTTAATACCTTTGCACAATCATTTCGAATTCTTTTGGAACGCGGAGAAACTGATCTATGCTTCTCGTCCGCTGTAAAACAAATGTCAAAATAGAATCACAAATAAAATAAGTAAATAAAATTTCAGTTCTTTTTCTTTTTTTTGCTTCTTATTACCTTCTCCAAAATCAAATCCGATCCGCTTCCGCTTCCTTAAGTACATCCTCATGACATCCTCCAACAGTGTTCCGGATATATGAACTCTCTCGATCCGATTCACAAACGCGTCTGTCAAGTTGATATTGGAGATGAATCGTTGAAAAGCGAAGAGGCCTATGAGAGAGACGGTTACAAAAAAGCCGTTGCTACTATTGCTGCTAGTCAACGTAATTGGAGAATTAGGGATGGAGCAGAGAGATCGGATGATTTCAGGCGTTGCGCGGAAGAGAGTGCAGCGAGATGCGAGCTCGAGAGTTGAAGTTGGGCGGCCGATTGAGATGAGCAGGGCGAGGATGTACCATGCCTTTTGTGACTCGGAATCAGCAGTGTTGGTGACCGCGGAGACTGAGTCGAGCAGAGCCAGTTGGGAGTTTGGATGGTGAGTTTGCATAGCGATTTAGGACTGCCAGTGCAAAAGAGTAGAGGGAGCGAACAGGTTAGGGCTCGTAGACGGAGATGGAATATTTGCAGAAACGTGGAGAGAGAGATAGAGGCGCGGATTTGGTACATTTCAGGATTTTGAGATTTAGGAATTTCCCGCCAATTTTACTCCCTACAGAGTGGGAAAATACTGGACTTTTCGTTGAAGAAAATGCGAAATATCTAAAATGTCCATTTTATTTATATATTTATTTATTGAAAAGGAATGTACGTTTTGTTATCTGCCTTTCACCACAGAATTAAATTTAATCGATTTATCTAGCGTGAGTTGGTCTAAAAGAAAATTAATTCCTTGTCAGAAAAAAAAAAAAAAAGAAAAAGAAAATTAAGTCGTTTCTTTAAAAATGATTTTAAGAAAAAAAAAGCATTAATAGTAAATTTATAAAATTTTTTTAACGGAAAAACTACTTTTTCAATAGAAATCACGTAACTCCAAATGATTATTAATTGATTTTATTCAAATTTCAGTCCAATTAGAGTCATGTTTAAATTAGAAGACAGTTGCACACCAAAGCATGGTATATTGGTAAATGTTTTTCAATCCCTTAATTTTAAGAATAAAAGCAATATTATTATAATTAAAAAGTCTTATTTATTAATTATTTTATTTAATTTGTTGGTCATCTTTATTTTTATATAATATAATATATCGATTAGTCATTAGCTTCAAAACCTAGCTCATCTAATTGAAAATTTAATAAAAATATTTTTGATATTTTAATTTATGAACATAAATTTAAAATTTTGCATTTATTTTTATAATTAAAAGGCAAAACACATATTTAAGCCCCTAAACTTTTTGAGTTTCACCGATTAGACCATCAACTTTTATTTATAACATTGAGCACTTTAATTTTTATTTTTGAATCCTTATTTAACCAAGAGCAAACGAAAGTTGAAGCTACTAATACTAAAGATTTAACAATAATATAGCATGAGAAAATTCCAATTCCATTTTAGATGCCCAAATAAAGGAAAATAAAAAAAAAACTCGTAAAATACCAATGTCAAATTCTTCGTTTTCAACCTCTAATTCGTCCATTCTCATTGTTTGCCTTCTCTTAACTAAAAAAAGATCCAATTTCATGAACACCGGCTGCACATTTTATGACCTCAGTTAAGTAAAATTTTTAATCTGAACTGAAAAAAGAAAAAAGAAAAAAAGAAAACAGAGCTAAATGGCTCAACGTTGATAAATAAAAGTTTAGAGCTTAATGACCAAATGTATAAATATGCACTTGTACTTTACGGAAAAAATATTATAGCACTCCAAACTTTGTGAGTAATTTATTATATATCTGAAGTTAGAAATTTTTCTAATATTGTATTCACTCTTTATACGAAGCAATAATATTTTTTTGGTGTGTTTAACATTATTCACTTGATGTGCGGTTAATATAATATTTGAAACAATAATTTTCACATTTTTAATTATTAAATAAGTGTTTAATTAATATAATTTTAGAAGTTTGAATATTTAATAAAATCATTTTTATAAGTTGAAGTATTTAATCGGTACAATTTTATAAATTGAAGTGTTCAATATGTCAAAATAAAAATTGAGTACATGGATGAATTTATACATTTGACCGAGCTTTAATGATAAACCTCAATAAATTTACAGATTTCAAAAAACATTTCTTCCAAAATCAAATAATATAATTTAAAGCATAAATGATCTCCTACCGTATTGATAAAGGTAATGCGCTCAAACTAAAAAGATCTCAGATTCGATTTTCAGTAGTTTACCATATAATTTCAATTTTTATTCCTTCCTTTTAGTAGCTTCTAATAGATTGAAGCGTAAATGAAAATAAGGCTACATGGGTCTTAATTTCTCGAGCTTGAAGACGATTCAGGCTTTTTAACCCTACCACTATCTTTGTTCCTTGTTCTATAGTTGGTTTCAGTTTGCAATTTCTTAGTTACAACTCATGTACAAGACGAGGGCAACGGAATCTCAACGCAAATCCTAATCTTTTTTAGAATCAATGGCTCTACCCTGACACATGGTCCTAGCGAAAGCAAATAGACGCACCCGTCAACTTTAATAGTGATCTCGTGTTTGAAATTGAATGTAGAGCTACAATAACCAGCCTGTGAATTGCTCAAGACTAGATAAGAGAAAGCTCATTCAATAAACCTAACTAGCCAAACAAAGCTTGAGCTTAGTTTTTGAGCTACAGTAATACCTTTGTCAAACCAAACTCGAATTCGAGCTCAAGCTCATGAATTCAACTGAGCTCGGTTCATTTACAGCCTTATTCAAACGCAATAGTCTTTGATCGGATGCTATTTATGAGACTGCCACTACAATAGGAATTGTAAAACTCAGCTCATGAAATAATTCACTGGCAGAAACAGAGAACCAAATTTCAGAAATTGCAATAAAAAATTGCCACTTACCAATTCAAATTAACAGTAACATAATCAATGGAATGAGAATATATGACACGAACAGTAACATATAAATGAAATGAAAATATATTTGGCAAACCGACAGTTGCAACAATCAATGTACAAAAGGAATGAAATAGTAGACGCCCTTTTCATGCAAACACAACTTGTACAGTAAAATAGACAAGAAAATTTTTTATCTCCTGAGATCCTGTGGTGTCTAGTCATTCTGTGGATGGTGAAGACATTGTGAGGTTCAACAGGAAGCCAACCATAATTCCAATAAGTCCCACAACAAATGCAAAAGTGAGTGAGAATCCTGGATCATTTTTCCGAAATCTCCGTCTCTTCAGCATCTCCTGTAGGAACCAAAAGGAAGGAAAATTGTACAGAGAAGTTCATGCCTATTCTATTGAATAGTATATGAGGTATGAAATATGTGTGAACAGGAGGGAAATATCTCAAGATTATGTAAGAATTATCTCAAACCGATTTGTCCTCATACAGACATTTTAGAAGAAAACAAATTCCATGTCTTGGCAGTTTAATCATCCAATTAACCTTATTTTTTAAAATGAGAACTTGTAGGAGCCATCTGATGAATATGACTGCTTTAGTTTGACAACCGCAATCACATTTTTTCAAATATTGACTTACATACACTCTTCTAATATTCATAGTAAAAGCTGATGTTAATTGACTGTTGAAAATGGTGTAAATAAATTACAAAATAAGCAAATTTTGAATGGACTTTCCACAGGGTTATATCAGAGTTATGCTCACTCCAGGAAGGTGCTAACTGACAGCCATACATTTTTGTATATTAACAAAGAAAACAGCTGATCGGGCAATTAAAATAAAAAAGACAATATTGTAACAATGTCAGTTTAGCAGTCAAAGATGCATAGGCATTTGATACTTGGGATTTAATCTTACGTATAAAAGTACTAACATGTCAACAAGCAAAATAATTGATAAAAGAAGCAAACTCAAGTACTGCATGAGAACTAACCAGTTCTTGTTGCAGTTGCTGTGTACTTCGGATAGCTGCATCTCTTTCATCCTTCAGTCGCTGTAAAGCCTGATTCCGCATACAAAAGAAATTTCATAAAGTTATGATAATAAGACTGTTTAGAAATTATAAAATATGCTTCACTGTGAAGGGACTGCAAGAAACCAATTTATATGGTAAACTAAATAAGAAAAAATATCATGTTGTCCAATGCAATCTATGGTTCAAACTTCTGAATATAGACTATAGAGATGTCTGGTGTATCCCTCTCCTATAAAACTATAGATTTCATGCAGTTGTACTAGGTTAAACAAAAAAAATAAAGGTGAAGTAGATCAACAGCACATTTATTACTACGAGTAGAACAACTCAAATCACAGCAATTTTACAGGGAATGGATAATACAGCAATAATAGTGCTCAATGCCGATAAATCTGTGAACCTGTCCTGTGAACCTGTCCTTTTAATGTGCTAATAATATCCATTTAAACACAAATAAAATGATTCATTTATATTCTAACATCTTATCAAGGATTTCTTACTTGATGACCTTAGCTCTTTTCAAACCCTTGATAAGCAAGTAATCAAGCAAGATATGCAAGAACGAACACGTCAAACATTAGAGTGCTGGCAAGTCTGCCAAAAAAATAAAATAATAATAAATACATATAGAAAAACTCACGGGGTTAGTATCAGGATTCTTTGAGGAGCTCTTCAATGCCTCATCTTCTGAGTTTTCCTGTGCTGATGGAGCAGCATATACAACTCTAAGCTTACACTCCTCTATTATCTTTCCACTATTGTCCTTATTAAACTAGAAAAAAAAAATATTTGAACAAAATTAATGTCATATCAATATGATAGTTAAACAAAGACATATTGTTCGCTAACTTAACATTCTTACAGTCTCTGCTGGTAGTTCATCAACATCAGTATGTGGAGGTACTGTTGTACTTTGCAATAGAAACTTATCTTTGCATTGCATGTCCGGAGGATATTCATGCTGGGCTTGAAGAGTAACTGCAAATCCATAAGAGAGCAGTTAGTTGAACTGCAACATCACGATTAAATGATTTTTATGACTAATATGAAGTATTGTAAGAACTGAAAGCATGCCAGCACATGCTGCACAAGCAAGTGGCACATTATGGACAAATCCAGCTGATACACTACAGAAATTTAAAGCTATTCAATCGAGACATCACCTAACAAACATCTAACAAAGTACACATAATTAATGCTAAACCATTATGAATTTCTTCAGATATCTATCTATATACCTATGTTAAGAATTACAGAATCTGTAAGGCGATGGAGTAAAAATAGCACCTCTTATGACACACGAGTCCCACGGCTGTACAACTCCAGTATTGGGCCTCACAAAGTACTTCTTGGGTGAAGTGGTTTTAACCTGGCAAAGAGGTAATGTCATCATAGTTAACTCTATAATGGATTTAATATATAAAAATTACAAATCATTATCTACGCAGTAATAGAGATGGTACCTTAAAAGCAACATGGTGCTCTGTATTGTTCACAACTTTAAGATCACAAAAGGTTTGCTTCTCCAGCTCAACTGCTCACATGAATAACACCAATTTAAGCTACGACGTTGTATAATCAAATCAATAAGAAAGTTATACCACTGATACGTACAAACAATGAACTCATAGTTTTTAGCATCAGCATTTCCAAGAATAATATCCATTAAAATGACAGAAGCATTAGAATCAGTTATTCGTACAAGAATGGCAGTACATATTTGATTTCATAAATTCCAGAAATCAAATAAGAAGTTGAGGAAAAAAACACGGCATTGCTGTCTTTCAATGTTCAATAATTTTCAACAAAATAAGTTTTTTCTAATCCGAGAAATTAAGCAAGTCTAATCCACTATATTCTCCACGCTAATAAGATTTTTCCAAACTTACCAAGTTCAGCCTGGCTTTTTAATTCATTTCTCTAAATTGCATTTCCATCAATTCTATAATCTACATAAAATTCCAGTCCCTCCCTTCTTGCACCACTGGCCCTTTCCAGCTTGTTGAGAGGTCTGACAAGAATGTCAGGGCACAGGCAATATAACTCACTGACGATCATAATTCTTATAGACACTTGAAGAACATATTATAAGCTCGCAATAACAAGAATGTAATAGCAGCATCTATACGGTGAAGGACTATAGAAATTCATTCAACATGTAAGAAACCAACCCTTTCCCCTGAGCTTCACCAAGAGCTAGAAAAAGAACACGTTATAATACCTCCTTGAACTGAACACCACACAAAAACAGAGTCGCAAAAAAAATTTTTATACATAGATGCCACGACCCAAAAAACCGAAGCAAAGTCACTTCCATCTTTTCCGACCAATTCCCCTCACCCTTTCATAGCAAATATTTATCTATCTATCATCACAATACATATTCTGTATAATTTTTCTCTGTTTGCATGGTGAAACGCTATCTTCTCACATGTGCATATCTACACAGAAGGCAAATTCTTACTGTATTCATTCCAATGTAAACACATAATCTAGTCTATTCAAGCAAAATTTCGGAGATTCCACGCAATCTGCTTGAATTGCAAAATTATGATCAATTAATAAACGACTATCACAAAATTTAACTCATCTTGAATGCAGTAAATGTAGAGAGAGAAAAAGAGAGCGTACAAATGAACTTGAGCTCATCAGGATGAACGGAGATCAACTGATTACCACCGCCGGCAGTCATATCGAGGCCACGAAAGATAGATCAATCTCAAACTAAGAAAAAAAATTCTCTCGCAATCCGAAAAATCAACCAATCAATGAACCAACGAACCAACCAAACTTCTTAAAATTACAACAAACAAAACCCTTTACATAATCAGAGCTCCAAAACCATCAATCAATGGAAAATCAGATGGAGGAAAACATTAATGCAACAAGCTGCAGATAGAGAAGTCGTAAAAGTGAAAGAGCGACAAATTTAGAAGCAGTAACATGTGGTTTAAACGAATATAGAAGTTTATTTCTGCAACCAAAATGACTCGCTCGTATTTCTAGGCACCTATTTCGGTTTTTTATCGGTTCAAGCGTTTCGTGTGTCTAAAAAGCCTGAAAGCGCTCTCTCTCTCTCCGTGTGCGGACTGTGGAGGAGATAGAAAGAGAAGGGAATGGTAGTTTGGTCTTTTCCCTGCAACCGGAGTACAGGAGAGGAGAGAATGGTAGGAGAGAGAGGATCTTCAATCGGAGAGAGGATGACACGTGTGGAATGAATACGTAGATGACGCCCGGTTCAAATGTACCAGACTGGACACGTGGGAGCCATGTGTATATTTTTTTTCTATTTAAATGGAAATTGGAAAACCAAGTTTAAGCTAATAAGCCATTTTCATATCTGATTTCAAACCAATTAGCAAGGGAAAATTTGTCAATTAATTTTAAAATTAATTAAATTTCATAATTAAGTTAAAACGAGTATCAGCCTTTTGTTTTCATAAATTAGTTTTATTACAATTATTAAAAATTGAATTGTTTTTATAATTAAATTTATTTTATTATTTATATTATTAATTCTAAATGCATGTCTGCATATAATTTTTTCAAATCAAATTCAAATACAAATTTCTCATATAACTTCATTAAAATACAGTTTATTGAAAGTTTATAAGTAATATTCTTAGAAATTGAAATCTCTTTCGTGTTCATCTCTTTCTATAAATTAAACCATCAATGGAGTTTCCTCTCAAATTAGAAATTAATATGTTACCCAAAACGTTGGAAGGTTAAATCCTTTATTAGAGGGAAGGAGAAAGGAACTGAAATGGTAATAACTAATAAGTTGTACCTAATTAACTTTTAGGAGCAAAACTTTGAGCCTCTATGATTTGCATCATATGCATTTTGCAGAAAGATATAAGTAACCCATGTTTGCTTGCTAAAAGTTACTTTAATTTACATAGTATAATTTTTTTTTTCTTTTTTTTCTTTTCAATTCTTATAAGCAAGTAAAATTTTAGCAAAGAGACACTTTTTAATTTGTTACCAATTAAAAAGATTTTTATAAATTTTAAAAGTAAATTTTGGCCTTCAACCACTCATCAAAAAGAAAAAAAAAAAAAAATATTTAGATGCCAAATTAGAATAAAACTTAAAAAATAAATAAAAGAGTTGAATGACAAATATAGATTATCGCCATTTGACATATTTATTATATTACATTTCGTTGATAATCTTGTTTATATATTGTTTATATATATGTATATATATATATATATATATATATATATATATATATTTTTAAAGAGTTATGAAGCATCGAAAGTTTAAATCCTAATACCAATGCAGTTTAATGACCGAGTAATTTCTATTCGGCCAAATGTGTCATTTTGCGTACTTTCCCTGTATTAAAATAAAAATATTTAAAGAGTTATGAAGCATCGAAATTTAAATCCTAATACAATGCATTAAGTGACCAGTAATTCTATTCGGCCAAATGTGTCATTTTGGTACTTTCCCTGTATTAAAATAAATTTTTTTTTTCTTGGCACATGAATTAAAAAATGCAATTAATAGTCTGAATTTTATAAAATGCTTATTTTGCCCTTCAATTGAACTAAAGAGCTTTTTTTTAAAAGGAAAAATCCAAATTAAAGAGTAATTGAGAGACAATTATACTATTTTTTTGAGTATTGAGAGATAGAGATTCAAACCTGGATGAATTGACAAGTTATATATGCACTTACCACTAAAGTATGTCTTGGTATGCGAAACAATTATATTATGACTTATGAATACAATACTAAATAAAGGTAGATTAAAAAAAAAAATTAAGTCTTAAAATTTTAAAATTGACAATTACATTGAAACAGGGATTATAATTTTACTTTCTTAAATATTGGGTTTGGGTTTCACAGCATACCTAATTCTGCAAGACGGCATTTCAAGATTGGAAAATTGCAGGTCTAAGATTACCACGACACGGAAACAAAAAAGGTTAAGTTAAAATGATTGCTTAAACGCAACAGCAATTAAGGTTATTCATGCACTTGTAAATGATTTTATATACTAACAGGAAACAGAGATACTAAACGGAATCTATAAGATTAATATATTAGCTATTAAATTATGTTCCATGATCAAGACATTATCATTATTAAATTAGATAGATCATATGGCAATTTGAATGCACCATTTAAAATCTAGGGCCTTCTTCAACAGAGACAATAGCTTTTCACATCATCTTTAAATCACAACATAACACGTTTAATATGAAAGTCAACACTCTCAGCCTAATCAAGAAACTGTTATTTTCATCAATCTTTTATAAGTTACTTCATCATCTAATGATTTGTTATTAGTAGATATACATATAGGCAACGTGTGAGAAAGGAAACCAGAAACAATCAGAAAAGCATACAAGGAAATTACCATGCCTAAAAGGTCCTGCGAATATGTATAATAGAGAACAACACAAATGGGAAGACAAATTATTCGATAATTGATACTGAAGAAATTACACCAAATGTTTATATATGCGTTTTATGGTTCCTTTAAGAGAAGCTGATTTCCTCTACAGATACCTAACTCTAAGCTTCAAGTAAAAAGTCTTGAGAATCAAGTAATACTAGTCTTATAATAATCATAATAAATAAATAGAATTAATTGGAGGAGAATGTTGAGTAACCATCACAAATTCAAAATCAAGCACAACCATTTTCATGACCCGAAGTCACGCGGTTCTCTTTTCTCTACTAGAATTTTACTATGTACTAGTATTTAAAAGCATTAGCATGGTTAAATGACCATAGATAAAAGTCAATCAATGAAATGATCAACTACCTTTCTATCTTTGGTGGGCCTCAAATAATTTCATCAAACAAAGCAACAGAAGTATATTTAGCACCTATTCCCAAAATTAATGCAAACAATTCAGCAGTTAACTTGCTTGTCTACCACAATATGTATTTCTAAAGATCATCACATAAGAATAAGATACATACTCTCTCTCTCCACAAACATCCACAAGCACACATGGAGAATGATGCTAGTTTGGTTATGATGGAAAGGAAGTCCAAACATACCATAAAGAATAGCAAATATTATAGTGATCTCTTCCTAATATGAGTAAAGGTGACCTCTAGGACCGGTTCATAAAAATAATAAATGCTTTGAAATTGCATATCTTGATGGCCAGAACTACTCATAACAAAAATTCAAATATGCTTTTGTTTTTGCATGAAAAAGATCAAATCATCTAGTATGCATAAAACAATTTCCTAACACAAAAAGAATAAAAATGGATACATGGAAATTCTGTCCTTACAATATCTCTGCAGCCAGGAAACTATTTTGGAGAAGGAAAAAACTGAAAACCAACTTTCTCAATGTTTTTTTATTTAAAGGTGGACAGCCTGGGAAGCTTGTCTCTAAGATAATACAACCTTGCCCTTCTGACCTTCCTGTGGCTGACTACTTTTATTTCCTTAATATTTGGTGAGTAGCTGTGATCACAAAAGATTAAAGATTAATCATGACCAAACTATTGATCACCAAACAAAGACAATTAACAAAGTAAATAATAGATAAATAAATAAATTCAGAGTCGAATTACTGGTGCTATGAGGGTATCAGTGGCATGGTAAAAAAACTTGCATGCTTAGTTTATATTCTCAGCATCAAATTGCACAAATGCATCACATGTCTCAATTATGAAAATTTAACATCTAACTTATTACAGCAAGGCATTAAGAACTCAGCTTTTATGGATAGGCCTAAAAATTTCAGCACGCACACCAATGACTGAAACACAATTGTCCAACAAATTGTGGTATGTTTAACACGTATATATCAATAGCCATGACTAGAGTTTCATCATGGACACTGATATAAACTTCCAAAAGTTGATGACATTATGAGCTCGTGAAATCTTTTATAATGTAAAGCATTGAGAACTTGATCTTTTACCATCTATCCAAAACTCTCTTGTTACATACAAAAAACGCAAACATAAATTGCTCATATACATTGCTCTATATACGTGAACATAAATATAGGAGATAAAATACTCACATGGGGAATACAATCTCAACACCTATGCCTGCGATAATCCTCCGAACTCTAATTGTGGTGTGAATGCCAGCATTTTGCTTAGAGATAACAATGCCTTTGTAGATTGACAACCTTCGCCTATTTTCTGGAACTTCCTGTAAGTTAAACCAAATAAATCAAATCTCAAAAGAGAAACACAACATCAGCACCCTAATGAGCACAAAAAGAGATGTAATTACCAATTTAATCTGTACTATGTCCCCAGTCCTAAGATCTGGTATTGGCCTTTCCTTCTCTGATGCCTCAACTGCTCTCTTATTCAATATCTACTCAATGAATACCAGACATATCATCCTCAGCAAAAAATTTAAACATACAGACTAAAGGAAAATAACCAGAGAATCAATTAAGTACCCCCATTATCTCCCCAAGCTTGATTCTTGGCTTTCTCGGTTCTTTCACTTTTTCTTCGGCCTTCACCTCATCACCTTGTTTTTCCTCTTCCTGTTCTTCTACTTCAGCATTTTCACTATCTTCCTGTTCTTCTAATTCAACATTTTCGCTATTATCCGCAACTTCACCGCCTCCAGACTCCTCTGATTCCGCTCTCGCAACGAACCTCTGGCTCGCAAAAGCGGAGATGATTGCGTCCAGATTTGAACCAATTGAGTTTGTCGAAAGCTGAGAAACCGAAACCCTAGAAGTTGAATTGCAGAGAGAGGAACCGCGATAGACTGTTGCAGAAAAGCCTAATTTCCTTGAAGGAGGAAACTGAGTAGGGTTTCTTGGGATCACAACTAGCGCCTGCAAACCACGAATATGAACAACAATAACAAAAGAAAAACACAGAAGTATTAGTGTATGGAGAAATTAGGAATAGCGCCTGCAAACCACGAATATGAACAACCCTGCAAACCACGAATATGAACAACAATAACAAAAGAAAAACACAGAAGTATTAGTGTATGGAGAAATTAGGAATAGCGCCTGCAAACCACGAATATGAACAACAATAACAAAAGAAAAACACAGAAGTATTAGTGTATGGAGAAATTAGGAATAGCGCCTGCAAACCACGAATATGAACAACAATAACAAAAGAAAAACACAGAAGTATTAGTGTATGGAGAAATTAGGAATAGCGCCTGCAAACCACGAATATGAACAACAATAACAAAAGAAAAACACAGAAGTATTAGTGTATGGAGAAATTAGGAATACCTGAGGAAGAATTTTGGAGCCCATTTTTTTGACAGGAGAGAAACCAGTGTTTCAAATAAGGGCAGAATCAAAAAGAAGCCATTCCTGTTACTGGTTTGAGTGGCTAAAGTGAGGAATGTAAGCATAGAGAATATGCCTTATCCAATGTAGGAGAGAGAAGGTACGCACGTGCGAGGACATGAACGGATCCGATTATTTTCCTAGTCGGGTAGAGCTCCGAGTCGGATCTTAAAACGGCATGAGTCAGGGTATTTGCACCTATGATACGACGACTCTTGCCATTAAAGAGAGTATATCGCGCCACGTTTCAACAGAGAACAACCCCCACAAAGCCTTACTGTGACATTATTGTCTGCGTGGCATTTAAGCATTTCGAAATTCCAGCGTCTTGCCACGTGTCCACCGTTGTGAGCTTCCTCACTCTCTCCATCCATCTCCCGCCATTCTCTCTCTCCCTCTCACCGAATCAAACTCTCTCTCTCTCTCTCTCTCTGTCTCTCTCTCTCCCTCTCTCTCTCTCTGTCTCTGTTAACCAAAATGATCTCTGCAATTTCATGAACCAAAGTTGATTGTTCGATGAAGCAATCTGGCTATGTTTCTTGTTTGATTAAGCTAATTATTTAGAGATGGCTAGAAATTTAGATTGGACGAGGCAAACACCGCCTGGAATTTTGCTTATAAGAAGTTTAAGAGGTAGAGATTGGAATCTAAAAACCTATAGATATATGGTCTTGTTGGTTACTTTCATAGCATATACTTGTTATCATGCATCAAGAAAACCGAGCAGCATAGTCAAGAGTGTGTTAGATCCTGACCCAAACACACCGCCTTCAGGTGAGTCCCCTTGGCCAATTGGTAACATCTTTATCAAAGATGAACTCATGGGCACAAACAAAAGTAGCCACTTGAAAAAGGGTTGGCATCCATTTAATGGACCAGACGGGACATCAAAATTGGGTGAGATTGATGTTGCTTTTCTTTCTTGTTACTCTTTAGGTATGTATGTTGCCGGGCATTTGGGTGATACTTTAGATTTGAGATTGTTTTTAACATCTGGAATGATTGGCAGCGGATTTTTTGTCGGGTTATTTGGTATGGGATACTTTTGGAAGATTCATGTTTTTTGGTTTTATTTGGTTATGCAAATGCTTGCTGGGTTATTCCAAGCCACAGGTTGGCCTTCTGTTGTGGCTGTGATTGGTAATTGGTTTGGAAAAAGAAGGAGAGGATTGATTATGGGTGTTTGGAACGCACATACTTCAGTTGGTAATATTAGTGGGTCTCTCCTTGCTGCTAGTGTTTTAGATTATGGGTGGGGATGGTCTTTTATAGCTCCTGGTGCATTTATTGTAATGGGAGGGATATTAGTTTTCTTGTTTTTGGCTGCTTATCCAGAAGATGTAGGATTTCCTTGTGCAAATGGGTGTGAACAAAAGGTAGAGCCTGCGTCTAGTGATATGGAAGCTGAGAGACATAAAGGTAGAAAAGGTCGAGTGGACAAGAATGATAATGTCCAGGCTGCATCTACGTCTAAGAGAGGCGTGGGACTTATTCAAGCTTGTCTCATACCAGGAGTCATACCATTTGCCTTATGTTTATTTTTCTCCAAGCTTGTGGCTTACACATTTTTGTATTGGCTACCATTTTACTTGAGCCAGACAGGTATTATAGTTTTTACCTCTTTTATACTTTTATACTTTCTTCTTTTGTCATCTGATTTGTGAGGCAGTTTTGGATTTAGTTGATGGTTTGTGTTATTGAATTTTTTCTTTTTTAATAGTTTTGATCAGCAAAGACTGAAAGGAATTTTTAGCAGTTGGGCAATGCTACAAGGAATAAAGCAATACACTGATGTATAAAGGCTGAAAAATAGACTAGAAGTTGCTTTAAAATGTGGAGGCTAGTAGAATAATTCTGAGAGACCAAATGAGTCTCATGATTATAGGTTTAACAGCTATTTGCTTTCTGTTGAGAATGCAGATGAATAGTGATTCTTGACATAAAAAGCTAGAATGTCTGCCTAATTGTTGCCAATAGTTTGGAATGTATTATCATGAACTATACGTAATGTCAAGATCTAATGTCGCTCTCATTTGATGGTGAAGTATAGGCCACATCGATAGTGCATTTTCAAAGAAATGAGCTACATCTATATTCCCAGCGAACTTTATGCTTTTCATGATCAACAATCCTATTTTTAGTTGACACTGTTCAAACTTGGGAAATGGCTTAGGTATATATCCTACTTCTCCATCCTTATACTCCCTTTGCCATGACATCATTTGGTGAATATGTGTCCCGGTTGATCTTTTGTTCACCCAACAAGTTATTGAGGTTTTTCATTTTCATCATAATCTAATTTATGATTTTTACCTGTAAGTTGAAAATGAGGAGTGAACCCTGCAATGCTCTTTTTATATTTCTTAAGGTCATTTGTTTTTTCTCAACTTATAGCTTTCATTTACTAAATGTATGCACATGCTTATGCATTAATGTCAAAGGCCTGTATCTTAATGATTGTACCTCCTTGTTAACATAGCTTGTTGGTGTTTTTTAGGATGGTTATCTAGCCCCTGATCAGCCTCTTCTCCCCTTTAATGGCTCATAATTTTTTCACTTTATGCAGAAATTGGTGGAGAGTCCATGTCTGTGAAGTCCGCTGGAAACCTGTCTACTCTATTTGATGTTGGGGGTATTGTTGGTGGGATCCTTGCTGGTTACGCATCTGATAAACTTAAAGCTCGGGCTATTACAGCAGCCAGTTTTATGTATGCCGCAATTCCTTCAATGTTCTTATACCGCGCATATGGTAGTGTCTCAAAGACTATGAACATTATACTTATGATGATTGCTGGCTTATTTGTAAATGGGCCATATGCACTCATCACAACTGCAGTTTCTGCTGACCTAGGCACACACAGTTCTCTTAAGGGGGATTCTCGAGCACTGGCTACTGTCACTGCCATTATTGATGGTACTGGATCAATGGGTGCAGCTCTTGGTCCGCTTTTCACTGGGTTCCTCTCAACAATGGGATGGGATGCAGTTTTTATCATGCTGATGACTGGGGCTCTTGTTGCGGGGCTTCTCTTATCACGTCAGGTCATAACTGAAATTTCTGAGAAAACTAGTATACTGAGGCAGTCACCCAGCGGACGTTTAATTCATGAAGGTATGTAGTAAACTGCACTGACACACATGTATACAAACAAAAACACAGATATTTGTATAGCCAGATGATATGAGTTTGGATAGTTTACTGGAGTTGAATGCTTACCTACTCCTCCATATGAAAATGACAAACAAAATAATTAGACTCTTGAGAAATTATCTGATATGATGATTTTAAACTAAAGATCATCTTGTTTGTTAATATTTGGAAAAATTTTCATTTGAATAGGTAATTTTGTTTGCCACTTAAAACCTATGCATCTTGTCATTGTTTATGTTGAAAAGTTTTTGTTTGTGTTGAAAATTGTATTCTTAGGAATAGAATTCCATCAAACCTTACAGCATATATAATCCTTGGTTTGTGAAATAGAAGGCTTTTCTTGAAATGCAATCTGCTTTTTGAAATTCTTTTTCAATATGCATTTTGTCAATGGACAAGATAAAATAGTATTACACATCAAAAATTGAAGTTAACGGAGTTTTTTTTTTCTCTCTCTCTCTGTTGCTATGTTATTGTTATGCTTCAACTTTTCCCCTTCTTTCTCTATGTTCATTCCATGGTAAGTTCAAATCAGATTAATGTTGAATTTTTTCTAAACTTTCCATTGAATTTAGTTCAGTAAAATCTTGTTTAATTTTGTTGATAAGTGTCATTTAACGGACACATTACATGTTAATTTGATTCAACAATGTAAGGATTCTTGATGTCAACTAATTAAATGATTGTGCTTAAATCAGAATAGTAAAATGAGAAATCATTAATGTATATTTAAAAAATATTTTCATGATCTAGGTTACATATCAAGAATATATTGCTTTCTTGATCTCTTTTGAGTAGAACCTAGTTTTGTATTCTTAATTTGTTTTTCATTATTTTATGATATCTTAGCTTGAGGTAACCCTTGGTTCAATGGTAAGGCTTTCTCAATCTTACCTGCCACATGCAAAGGGAAGGATGAACATATTTGATCCTTTTAGAGCCTCCATAAGTCTGTGCTTTGCACACCCTTACCCTTGATTCAGTTCTATCTGAGTAAATATTTCCCCTTCTATCGCCATGTGAATTTTGAATTAGTTGTCATTTCTTTTTGATTTTGCAGCTCCTGCATCCCAACCACTTTTAAGTGATCAAAGGTGAATATCAGGCGAGGCGTCGTGAAGATTTATTAGAAGTGAGAGAATCAAGATAAAAATTCAAAGGTAGGCTAACTGAAATACTTGAATAATAGTCTGAAACATTGAGCAGGAAAAATATGCTCTGTAAAATTTTGATTGGCTTTTGCCTTAGTTTGTATCATCCATTTTGTCCATTCTTTGTAATATACATAATGCATATACTTATGAAGACATATGTAGGGCTCATCAATTTTGGTAAGAGAACTCTCAATTTTCGCTGAGTTTCCTTGAGGACCCAAGTTGAATTGTTTCAGTGACTAAAACCAGACTTGGCGGCATTAATGGTTTTAGGTTTCTGTCTTTTCATAATTGAGCTAAATTTTTGGTTTTCAGTTATAGCATAACCCAGGCATGCCACTTAAATTAGAATATTGACAGCTCCAGCTCCTCTGCCTTTTCTTTTTCTTTCTTTTTTTTTTTTTTTTTTTTTTTTTTTTTTTTTTTCAGTTATTAGCATAACCCAGGCCATTTGGCCACGTTAAATTCGAATATTGGACAGCTCCAGCTTCCTCGTGCCTTTCTTGTTCTTTCCTTTTTTTTTTTTTTTTTTTTTTTTTTTTTTTCCTTAAAATTGATAATGTCTTATTTTTCTTTTTTTTTTTTTTTTTTTTTTTTTTTTTTTTCCTTAAAATGATATTTTCTTATTTTTCAAAAGAAAAAATTATGTTTAATATTAAAGAGATCTTTTTTTTCAGGTGTTGGAAATGACATGTCGTTTGCAGTAGTTTGAGGGGGAGGTTGGATTTTTTTTTTTTCCTCTTTTGGGTGCATAATTAGCCCCTTTGGACTTGAATGTCTGAAACTCAAGGCACCTTGAAAATACTCTTTGCCTTATTGGTTAGTATCTTCCACAAATATGGCCTTTTCAGACAACCTGCAACAAGCTGTTTTGTTGTCTAGAATTTGAAACAAAATATTGACATCTGTTCCTTATGTAAGATTCTGATTTTTTCCCCCCTCAAATTTAGAACATGCGAACATAACTTCATGGTTCTCCTCAAATACTGTAGCATTCATCTTTATAGCCATCAAATCTCCTGTTTTCCTTTACATTTCTAAGTTCTCTATCATTGCATGTTAATTTCCAGTGTTTCACTTTAAATTTTCTGAGATCTTTCTAAGCCAAACCAGAGACCATTGAAAGTGATTTTTATGCATTATCATTATTATTTTAAAGCCAATTTATATTAATCTATGCTAAATCGCGAGAAATATTATTTTTACTATTCTTGAAATATTTATTTGACAAAATCATTTTCTAAAATTCTCGAAATATTTCTTTATGAAAATGAAATCCAAACATGATTGGTAAGAAAAGAGAATTCACTTCAAGCTTGAGTTGGGTTTTTCCTAAGATTTCTTTTTTCTTTTCTTTTTTTATTTTTTATTTTTTAAAAGATTGAAAGAAACAAGTCTATAAAATGTGCAGAGTATTGAAATATAGGAAGTTTAAAGTAAAAAAGAGAAAAAGGAGGAAAAAGACCTATCAGCCAATCAATTATGTGGCACTGGCAGACATAAGGAAGCAGAGGATGGGTAGGCATAAAATATCTTAATCTTACCCTCAAAAAAATTAGAGTACCAAAATGCTATCTCAACAAGAGCGTTCTTTAAATATTAATTTCCATTATGTTTTATTATATGTTAAAGATTTTTCATTTAAATTATTTGTTTAAATCGGTCTATACTCTCATCTATAGGCTAAATACATGAAAGTAAAAATTTTTTATAAAAATATTTCTGATTATATACTAAAAAAAATAATACGAACAATTTTTTTAAAAAAATATTATTTTCATTTATTTGATCCATGCTATAAGCCGGTTTAGACAAACATAATTCTTCGTATGAAGCTTTTCGATTTTGGTCTTTTCATTGATTAGTCAATCTGCAAATTATCCATCATTGCTTTATTGTCTACCATTAATATGTTATGCTAACATTTATTAAGAATTTGTACAACTCACATTACACGTTTTGGAAAACATTGGAAGACCTCCACTTCATCCTTTTCCTAAACAAATTTTGATTATCTTCTGAAAAAAAAAAAAAAATCCCATCATTTTTCTGCTAAAATACTGTAGTAAAAGAAGTTACCTTTAATTCATTGTTATCGTTCTCCTAAACAGGGGCGAAGATATGAGAGTAAATGGTTGAAAGTAAAATAAAAATATATGGTGATCCTAATTCGAATCCAACAAATATCAAATAAATTTCTCACAGTGGTTAAGTCACTTGTTTTAAAGGTAAACATTTAACAATTAATGAATGACAGTAAATATGATTATTTCTTATTTATTAATTAAAAAATGTTCTTCTTTATTATGAAATATTTCATGGAATAAATAAATTTTCTTTGATAATTGTATCTTAAATTTGTTTCGTGAAGGGACTTTTCCTAATAATATAAAAATAAAGTATTATATTTACAAAGGAAAAACAATTATGTCAATCAGTGTTTGTGTTCTCACTAGTGTTAAATGGGAAGTTTCAAGTTTGTGTCCTCTGGATCATAAATATTTTCACTAATTTAATAAGTGAGTCGAGTAGAGAGTTACCCACAGTGTTATTTCAGTCAATCGAACCTTCCAATGAATAGAAAAAAAAAAAAGGAAAAACAATTATAGTTATGTTACATTAATAATCATATCTTTGGATAGCATTTTCGCTAAAATTTCATCATAAATTTTTAATTTTGTTGATGTAAAATAATTTTTTATAAATAAAATTACTTGTCCTTGTGCAAACACATAAGCATATTGGAAGAAAGAAATTTGTGCAGAGAATTCTAATGGTATTGGTAGCTAGTGGGTTGTTGTGGTGGTGATTGTTCGTCTCGTGAGCAAATCACAAGTATGGTCTTCACTCATTACCCATCTAGTGGGGCTAAACCCCCACTGGCCTCTAGTACGTGCAAGCACCAAATCACTAATTCCAAATGGCCCCATTTCTATATCTTATATTTTGCATTTTTGTGTAAGCCCATTGACCAACACACAATGTGCAAGTCAAGTGCACCCAACAAAATTATTAAAATGAGTCCCAATTAATGTTTTAGGACAATTTTTAATGAAACAACACAAATAAACACAAACTCAAACCACCACCACACGTCTTTAACTACTATTTTTCTTCTCTTTCTTTATTCTTTTCGCAAATAAAATTATTCATTCTTTTTTGAGGCATAGATGTTTCATGCTTTGCATCACCGTAGAGACACATTAAAATAATACTGAATTATTTAGAACACTTTTCACCATAGGAGCACTAAAAAAATATTAAATATTTATAACACTTAGACTGTGTTCGATAATAACTTTTTAGGTAACTTTTAGCGTTATTTTATTTCGGGTAACATAGCGTTTGAATTAAATTTTAAAGATTAAAGTAGTATTTTATAAAATGTTACCAGTTAAATACTACTAAAACAGCTAATAACTACCAAATCAATTAATTCTACCGAACTTATAGTTTATTCAATTCTTGACATGATAACAAATAAATTAAAAATTTGTAATTAGATGATTGATAAGTAATAATAACATCTAATTTCCCAAAATTTGAATTCTAATCACATAAAACAAAAAGTGAATTAACAACTTAAATAATTAAACTTTGTTTAATAATGTTTAGTAAGTATAAGCTGTTTAATTTAATGAAAGGGAGGAAAAATCTATATTAATTAGATGAGCATTTTCAAAGTTAGGGACTAAATTTTATTCATATCATTTTGAAAAGCTAAAAATTAAAACAAATCCATTGAGTATTTGCTCCATATGGAAAGATGAAATTTTTGACTTCGTTTGTGGAAAAAAGAGTTAAAGATGTTGGTAAGTCCTCCATTGTATTGATTTGACTCCCATTCTAAAGTGAATTCATGTACTCCTTAAAATTAATTCCTTATGCACCATTAACAAAAGATCAGTGCTCAAAGTCCAAATCCATTATGTACATATGTGTCAACCAATGTATCCAATTGTACAAAATGTCCATGCACTCACTTGTGACCATGGTTACACAATTCTCCAAACTTTCCTCTATATATCAAACTTGAGTACTCTTCTTCTTTCACTACTAGCTCTGCCTCTCTGTAAACAAATCTCTTTCATTCTTGTCCATAAAGCCCTAATTCACACTACTGAGTCATGGATCTGTCACGTGCCATGCTCGTGACAGCTCTATTAATGCTAAGTCTCATATCATCCTCCATTGCTCAAGCCCCAACATCTTTACCACCAATGCCCATATCAATGCCACCAACTTCTTCTGCAATTCCACCAGCAACTACTGCACCTCCGCCCATGCCGGTATCAACCCCTCCGCCCATGCCGGTATCTACCCCTCCTTCAAGCCCTGCAGCCACCCCTACGTCACTTCCACCAATGGCAGCGACACCTCCTCCTTCAAGCCCTGCAGCCACCCCTACGTCACTTCCACCAATGGCAGCGACACCTCCTCCCAGCCACCCCTACGTCACTTCCACCAATGGCAGCGACACCTCCTCCTTCAAGCCCTGCAGCCACCCCTACGTCACTTCCACCAATGGCAGCGACACCTCCTCCTTCAAGCCCTGCAGCCACCCCTACGTCACTTCCACCAATGGCAGCGACACCTCCTCCTTCAAGCCCTGCAGCCACCCCTACGTCACTTCCACCAATGGCAGCGACACCTCCTCCTTCAAGCCCTGCAGCCACCCCTACGTCACTTCCACCAATGGCAGCGACACCTCCTCCCCCAGGCAGCCCAACAATGAGCCCGAGTTCAAGCCCACCACCATCGGCAGGGGCACCAGAATCATCACCAACGTCGGCGTCTTCTCCTCCTGCACCAGCAGCACCAAAATCTTCACCCAGTCCAGCTACATCTCCAGTCGCAGCGACGCCAGCTTCAGGAGCTTTCGTTCATGGAAACAACGTGGTGGGGTTGTTATCATTGCTTGGAGGAGTCGCAGTAATAGTATTTGCTTAGACACCCCTACATGGTCACATTGAAACCTTTAATTTAATGTAGATTAAGATATTTATTTGTGTATTCTTTTTCCTTTCTTGTTTTCTTGTTTTCTTTTTCCTTGTTCTTTTCGTTGATTCTTGGAGCTGCATTTGTGATTTGTAGCATTTTGACTGTAGCTGAATAAGGGAGATCACTGTGATTCTTGCTTGTGTTAATTTACGTGCTAATAATTTTTTTTTTCTTTCATGGTTTAATCTTGTGATGCACTTTTCTTTTGAAACTCAGAAATCAAAAATCAGTGCCATGTGGCGATTCGAGCTAATTAAGAGGGTCGAATTTTTTGAAAGTCAAGATTATTATGAAAGCAAACAATGTATGGATCGATAGAATTAAAAAAATTGATCAAAATTACTATTTTTTTTTTTCATTTCGCCTTAGAGCGAAAAAAGACTTAATAGCTCAAAAAAAGTAACAAAAAATTGCTTGACTAAATTCATTAATAATTTAGCTAAGTTAATAGGTCATTAAAGCATGCTTTTTAAAATATTAATTAGCGTTCAATGAGAATTGATTATTACAGCTTTTTAGAACTACTTTTCTAAATGAAAGGAGTTAGGTGGGTAGATGAAGAAGAGAGACACGTGAAGGGTAGGGAAGGGAGGATATTATTATTATGGGCAAGGAAGGAAAAGGTTAGAGGTTGCAAGCTGTTAACTTTATTAAGGTAGAATGATAAAAAAGATGAGGTGATGAAGAAATCGGCAGGGAGAAAGAGACAAATGAAGTGGTAGAAGCATAAGGTAGAAGATGGGTGGCGGTGGTGGGGGATATCTGTGTTTGGAACGAACACGACTAGGATAGTGATGCGCACATGGCGTATTACCCCACACTTATTATTAGTGTATGGTCTATGGACAGAGAGAGAAAGGCAAAGGCAAAGGAGGAATAGATTTTCTTCTTCTAGGTTAATAATATTTGTATTATTCCATTTTTTTTTATTTTTTCCTATTTTAAATTTAGGTTTCAATATTTATTTTTATGAGAGCTTAATAAAATGTAGGAGAGCTCATCACTCATATTATTACTTGAAAAGCATTTTTTATATAACCTTAAGAAGCCAAGTGCACTGATTATATAATTATTTTAAAAGTAAATGAATGGAGAATCATAAACTCATAGTGATATAAATACTCAATTAGTGGGTTATTAACCTAATGATGATATGATTAAGCTAGTCACAATAATTCAGGACCCCAGTACCTTTTTCTTTTCCAAGAGAAAAATTAAAAATTGTAAACTATGAAGTTATTATTATTTATTGCATGATAAATACAAAAAAAAAAAAAAAAAGAGAATAAAATCATTTTTTAAGAAATAGGAATCTTATGCCAAATACGAAATGTGTCATTTCATAAAAAGGAAAGAAAAAAGTGACAAAAAAGCATTGGATTCCGATTAAAAGGGGTAATAAGCAAGAATCATACATAGGCTTTTTATCCTTTGCCTTTTTCTCTATAAAAGGAAGAAATGATGCTAAAGCAATCTATTGTGAAACCCATGCTATAAAGTTTTAAATACCCAGAAATGATAAAACTTAACTTGTTTAAGCTAAGTAGTTACAGTTGACAATGCTATGATCACACTCCACATTTTGAGGTAAATCCTATTGATTGCAATGTTTGCTATACCCTGAAAATCAAGTAAGAAGTACTGTTTGTTAATTAAGTAAGAAATATGCTCACCTGAAAGTGTAGCAACATAGTATTTATCGGCAAAATTATTCATTTTAATAAGTGTTAATTGTTTTACTAGCTGTGTTCGGAAATAGCTTTTTAAGCAACATTTAGCATTTTAAGTTATTATTTAGTGTTTGGTTAGAAGTTAAAGCAGCGTTTTATAAAAAGTTAACCTATATAGCATTTAGATTTTAGCGTTTTACAAAAAATTACTCAAACAACTAATAACTAAACGCTACTAAAACAGCTAACAGTTATCAAAACAACTAATTTTCTGATCAAACACTTAAGCTGTTTAACTAGTGTTTCATCAGACTGATAAAGAGAGTGATGTTCTATAATCCGCTCCTTCAAACTCTAAACGCTCATATAAATGCTATGTACAAATAATATAAATAATAAAGATAATATTTTAACTTTAGTCGTTAAAATACTAAACACCGCCTCAAAAGTTGTCGAAAAAGATCTAAGAGTTCCCAGCTGGGAACAACCATAGGCATAGCTAAATATCTAGATATCATATCATCATTTAGGGCTCTACTTTGTTGTCTAAGTTTACATGATAGGCCTTCAAGGCTTCAACAATTAATTCTAACAGTACATTATCATCAATCATTTTGACTATACAAGTATTTAGCATGAGAGTGGGCTCACAAAAAATATTGTCAGATCATTAGCCCACTTCACCAGAGAGTAGACTCATTTGTTTCCTTTGCCTATTTGCCTTGCCATTTTTTTTACTCACTAGATTGCATCTGACTTCTTTCTTTTAATTTTTATTTTCCAAATAACAGATATGTGAAAAATAGAATTCAAAAACAAGATTAAAAAATAAAAAAGTACACATTGGATTAGCCACGATAGAAAAATCCATGAATAGGAACTAGATTAGCCTCATTATTCATAAATTACATTGCAGCATTTGAAAAAATTAGAGGCATGCTGTACAAATGCAGAGCAAAACCAACAGACTACGAACTAGGAATAGAAAGCAGAGCAGGTAAATGAAGTTATCAGTACACATAAATCAGGTAAAATCAAATCACAGTCAATTGACTCGAGAAAAAAAAAGAAGTCCTCTTTGCAGAGTTGAAGATCCACAAATATGTATTGGGAAAAAAGCGAATAATGAAATCTGAAAAAGAAAAGGTTAGATTACCGTCTAGCTCCACTTTCAGAAGCTCTTCAGCTGTGTGTATATTTGATATTCAACTAATTCAATCAATCTGTCTGCAACTAAAACTGTATCTACTTTCATGATCAATAGCTTCTGATTATTGTCTTGTGATGGATGCCAAGCCAAGCAACAGCTAAAGGGGCATCAGTTAAGACCTTAGTGGTCAGGAAACTGAATGTCTTCTCTGGTGATCTTTACGTGTAATTTCATCTACCTTTTTCTTTGTTTTCTTCGGCACTCAAAACAATCAGCACATGTAGATTTATTTCTAGTGGAATAACCAGATTGGAGCTTGCTGGGTGATATTTTCAGGTCTTCCACCAGTATTTGTCGAAGCTTCTCATTCTCCGCCACAAGTTCTTCAATGACTTGCTGGTGTTTCAACACCTGAACAGATAGAAATATGTAGTTATTTGATAATGTTATTGACATACAATGAAAAGAAGACTTCTTTGACTTCTAGAAATGCTCGAACCCTTTGCACATATTGAAAGTGTGATTAACACAAATTCATAACATATTAACCCATACAAGAGTCTGGAAGCTTCCAGCATGGCGAAAGGAAATTCCATTCAAAAACTTTAGATACTCCAATTACTAAGAATTGCAAAATTGAGTGATCCTTTGAGAGTCCCATATTAAAAAGAAAAGAATGTTTTTGCTCCTGTGGTCATTTATCCAAATTTCCCTGGAAATGACATCAACATGACAAAATTCCTTTAAGGTAAGCAGAAAAGACATGAAATATTACCGTTTGAAGTAGGTTATTTTCACACCGCAAGCGTCCAGCCTATAAACATATCGCCAAAGCATTAGGTACAACATTTGAGACATATCAGAGCACATAAAATCCCATGTCAAGAGAAAATTAAGTCTGCAAAATGTCTTTTATGTTTATCAAAAGATGTTATTGTAAAGGGCCACGTGAAACATGCAAAGCACAAAAGATTTTGATTATCCATATTAACTAACTACTAACATGAAAAGAAGATGACAAATTTACAATCAATTTCCAAGGAAAAAGTTCTCTTACCCTGTTCTATTCTGAAATGATTGGAGGACATTTTGCCCAAATCCTGTCTATATTTCAAAATGTAAAAAAGGATTGATTTCTGAAGTTCAAACCAGTTCAACTAGTGTTCTTATTCACATAAGACAACTTTATCCTACGAAATCAAAATGGTAAATAGTTTGGTGTTAATCGTATAAACCAGTGATTAAAGCTGAAAATATGAATCGAGCATCGTGAAGGCATATCATTAACAAGTGATAAATACAAAGCATAATACCCTGCATAAGTTCTCAGGTAAGAACATCTCAAAGTTTGTTTATAATCAACCTACTAATTAAACAGACCAAGGGGGCAGATAATGTTGTTGTGCTTACCACTTCACTTAGATTGTTGTCCTCTTCCTTCAGAATTGGATTCTGCAGAAAACTACTAAGGACCTTTTCTGTTCGACTTCCAAAAGGTGTATCAACTAGGCTACTTGTTGGCGAGGAGTGCTCAGAGCTTGCATGTGGACTCATATTTCCATATCCGAGAATGCCTTGAGATGTTTGGTCCGGAAGTCTTGTTGCCAGTTGTGTGATACTTCCCAGTGGGTTCTGGATTGCTGGTCCATTCATAGCACTTGTGCCACTTTGCATAGACAATGGGAGAGCACCTTGACCAATCGATAAATTGGGAGCCACTCCAAATTTTGTCATCATTTTTGTCATCTCTTGCTAATGAATTTGACATTAAAATTCACATATAAACAGAAGAAGCATTATTTTGTGTGCACACTTCTGTGTTTGTATACACATATAAACAGAAGAAAATAATACATACTATGAGAAAGATTTGAATCTTCTGCAGCACCCCTGGTTTCACAGCAAGACCTGAGATTCAAAGACTAATTTTTTCAGCTATCAAAAAGTATATAATGAACAAATGAAAGGCAACTGATGCAGAATAACAGATGCCAATGAGCAATGAACCAACAGAAGGTCAGCTCAGTACAAACTGTCCATTGCATAAATACAATTCCAGCAGATCATTTCTAAAACTTGCAAATATTGATATCCATTAGCATCCATAGGTTCCTGTTGTTCCTTTATTTATTTAGACCCAAAATCACTCCATCTGATGCAACCCAAGAAAACTGACCTAGATGATTTATGATATAGTTTAGGCTATTACCAGATGCACACAAGATCTATTTCTACTCAATGGGAAACTGCAACCACTGTCTCAGAAAATGATAACCGCCCACGGAATAGAAACCGAGTTTGTCATTGAATAGCAGTCATAGTGAGTTCATATGCCAGTGGCATGAGCAAAGGAGGAACAATTGGAGGAAGAAGGCAATTTATATTTTAAATAATAGAGTTTGAGTAAATTATTCTATATTGTCTTATGAAATTTTTAATAACTTGGTTAGTCAATCAACATAGGATGTGATACTGTTCCAACAGAATATTATTCTACTTTCCTTGGACTGAAGCAGAAAAATCTAGAGGTAGAAATTCTTTAGCTGTACAGTCCATACAGATCCTTTATAACTAATAATGCTGCGCCCTAACCATGCCTGATGCCCCCAACCTTTATATGGAAGTTGGCATAGAGTTACTGCTCATGTACAAAGGCCAGCAACTGCTAGCTGTGATGGAATTCTGAAAACATATTATCTCAGGAAACATTTCAAAAATAACCAAATGTACATGTAACATAGGCATAGACTCAGTCAACAAAAGATATTAAAAGCATTGACTTGGAATAGGTTATATAAAAAAATGCATTCTGACATATAGGAAGAAAGCTAGATGATGATGACACGAGGACTTCTCATACCAGACTTATATGTTCCACATCGTGATGGAATCAAGTAATAACAGCTAGCAGAAAATTTTCCACTATCCATCTAAAATAAGTATAAGTAAATTAACAATGTAACCACATACTCATAAATCAGGTAATGAACAACAATGTGCTGTAGGAAAATACTACGAGAGAAAAGTAGGCAATGATATAATGCCATTACATACCGACTCCAAAGCCATGGCCAAAACCAACTCCACATCCCATGCCTACTTCAATTCTCTTAGCTCCCATCTTACGCAGCTGAAAATTGAGAAACACGAATTGAATGATCTTGTCAATTTTCACTAGAACACCAAATTTAGAAACAATAATAATAGATGGCCATAAGACATATTGACTTACAGCATTATTTACAGGTGTCCTAACACCAGAAAAGACATCAGTTGCACCTCTGCCCGCATTCATAAGTGCACCTACCATTGGTACTGCCCCTGCATTTTAGATTAAATCAACATTTACATATGCTGAACAGATAAAATATACAGAAAAAACATCAGACTTCCTTGGCAATGAAATTGCCTTTCAGTGAGACAAAGCAACATCAGTCACCTATTTTCATTCACATACACCTAAAGGCATGGAGCATTCTTAGCTATCAAAAGAGGGTAATGTTGATTCAAATAGTAGCCAGTTTTGAGGAATTAGCATTAAGCTAATTTAACTGAGTCTACTCCTATACATACCGGCATTGATATGGTGTGATAGAACCTAACTACCTTCTACATTAAAGTATCATAACTGGAGCCATAACTTAAAATTTTAGTCAGATATATTGCAGGGTGTGCTTGCAGGCTAACTGGTTCATTAGTCACTCTTTTTACTTCAACGGGATGATCAACTAAAAAAATTATCTGAATTTCAATATTTTGATTATAGAGACTTCAGAGAACTGCAGACCATTGGTCCTCTCCCAGGACTTTAACAATTCCAGGTGCCCTTAGAAGCACAAGAAATTGCTTGATCAACATTCTTCTGTCCTCTGGTTATAATGAGATATATAGCTCTTGAAAACAATTGACATTCCAGCTACATCTTAATAGAAAGTAGAAAACAAAGAACAAACAAAAATCACTAATATTAATCACAGCAGAAGTCATTTTCAACACTTAATGCAATTAACTCTCCCTGATCAACCCAAAAATTCAACTCACAAACTTTCTCCTCTTTTCCCACATTTTCTTAACAAAACTAAGCACAGCTCAATATTCTGAATGAAAACAAACGAAAAAAGAAAAAAGCAAGGAGACACGTCAAATGATTTTACATGGGATTCCAGCCAGAGATTTCTGATGGGTTCCACAATTCTTTGGTTTAAAAAACCCCCCAAAATTCATCTTTCCAAAGTATGCACACACAGAGATTAAATAGAGAAGAATTGAGAGAGCGAGGGATAGAAAGGGAGGGGCTACCTAGATTTATGGGGCTACCAACGCCAATACCAATACCACAACCCACGCCAAAGCCAGTAAATACTTGAAGGACTTTGAAAGTAAAGGGATTCTCTATTCTGATTCCCTGAAATGGCTTTGTCTGATTGCCCACTACAATGCTGTTGCTACTACTACTCTCCATTCTTCAACAAGCCTCCCCTTTTCTCTCTCTCTCTCTCTCTCTCTCTCCGTATGTGAATTTCCTCTATCTCCAAGCAATGCTTTCTGCCTTTTCTTTCTCTCTTTAATCTCTTTATAGCTCTAAAACCTTTTGCTCTTTCTGGTAAACCCCTGGTCTTTCCCGCAATGCAAAATCCAGGTGCCATTGCAGTGAGAGTCAGCTATGGTTTCTCTGCCAACAGGAAGAGTGTTCTTTTTGCAACTGGACGTGTGGCATCGTCTCAGAGTACCACGTAACTAATTATGTGTAAATTTAAAGGATGAATTACTGAAATGGGTCCATAATGCCTTCGTGAAATGACTAAAATGTCCGGATTGCCATGTAGTTAACAACTTGAGATAAGTGAAGTTGTACCTAACTAGTAAGTTAGTAACAGAATGTCAAATTGGGCCAGGCAGTTTAAAAGGTGAATGGGCTTAGTATTGCCCAATAAAGTTTAGGCAGGTTTATGAATTAGGGCACAATTGGGTTTGGGTCAGAGCCCAAAAGTTGAAATGCCTAATATTTGCTTGCAAAACTAATACGTGGCTGATTCATATTATGCAAGACTTAACAATCTAGTAAGTGGGTGAAATGTATTTATTTAGGGTTTTTTTTTTTTTTCTGACTACTTTGAATAGCATGGAACAGTTTGGTTAATTAAAGGTCTCAACCTCTCCAAGCTCTTTCCAATCTTCCATGGGGTACCAAATGGACCACATTTCAATTACAGCTTTCAATTACAATAAATACATACATCAATCCGCTTTTCAATCAAATTGATCTCTGACAACACCAAATCAGTTTAGCATAACACATCAATCTCAATTATTGGTTTCACATTTTCCACGTATGTATATATATATACATTTACATCCAATCCGCTTTTCAAATCAATTTGATCTCTGACAACACCAAATCCCAGGTTTAGCATAACCACCATTCAATCCTCAATTATTGGTTTCAACATTTCCACGTATGATATATAATTATATATTATTATTATATATATATATTAACTATATATATGTTGGTTGTGTGATGTGTGTTGTGTTGGAATACTGAAAAACTTTGAACCCCCCTTTTTTTTTTTTCTTTAAATGCAAAAGAATTAAAGCATTATTTGGATAAGTCCAATATGAACATATTAGTTTGAGAGATAGAGATTAAAGAAATTTGAAAGACCCAAATTTGCCCATAAAGTTTATATATGTGTGTGTGTGTGTGTGTGTGAATACTGAAAACTTTGAACTCTTAAATGCAAAGATAAAGCATATTTGGATAGTCAATATGCATATTAGTTGAGAGATAGAGATAAAGAAATTTGAGACCCAAATTGCCCATAAAGTTTTAAATTTGCAAAATCAATTATCTAAAACCCACGGGAGGAATATATACATATATATGGATGATTGACTAAAGTAAATTCTGTGTTTTTTTTATCTGAAATATTTATTTATTTTAATGTTAATTTATGTTAATATTACTTTTTTTTTTTGAACTGATATGTTAATATTACTTGAGGAATACAAAAAATGGCATATTAAATATCTAATTTCGTTTAATAGAAAGTGAATTAGTATAAGGATAAAGCATAATTATATAATATTCCATTTAAATTAAGAAAGGAATAAATTTGATCCTTTGCACTAAAGAATAGTAGTTGGTTATAGGTGGGCAAGCCGAGGTCAGGCATTGTCCCCCTGGCCAAATTTATGACTCAGCTGCCAGCCATTATTGATGCTCTTTAATGATGCCTTAGCTGATGGGCTAAAGAGCTCATGCTCAAACTTCCGTCCTTTCCATTTCAAAGATTTTTTTTTATTTTTTTATTTTTTACATTACGAAAAGAGATTCAAACTTAATTTATTTTTAAATTATTATGCATTAACCACTAAATTATATTTTTACGTGTCAAAAATCTTTTCACTTTTGAGTGAAAAGTGAACACAAATATATGGGTATTTTTATACCTCGAAATTGCATTGCAATGTTTTTATTATTTTTATATTTACTAACGTTGAAAAGAAATTTTTATAGAAGGATTTAGCAACGTAACTTAAGATATAAAAATGAGATAGAGTAATTTTAAAAATCTAAATCTTTATTAATATATTTGACCAAACCATGGGACTACACAGTGGATCGTCACGAGATCTATTAACAATTCATTCAATTAAAAAAATTAATGGTTGGACTTTTAATATAAAGAAGTTATAATATAAATAAATAAAACTATTATTTTTTATAAACGAAATTCTTATAAAGAGAACTATTAAGTGTGCTAATCATTGTTTTTATCGATTTAAATCACTTATCAAATATTAAAGTTTTGATGTAAGACATTTCATAAAACACACACGAATTCTAAAAACTGATGGGAGACGCTGCCCATCAAAACTAAATAGTTAGTTCTAACAACTATAGTAATAATAATGGGCTGCCTCTGATTGGAAAGAAAGTCTCTACATATGATATAGATTTTGGAAGCTACAAATCTTGATAGGTCATTTTATTTTATTAATAGAAGGTAAAGTGTCAAAATTTAGTGCATTTTTCTTGTTGCTTGTTAAACTTAGAATGTACCAAGTGACATCTACCTAACCAATAAATGCAACCGCACACATTATTAATTAGCGAGATAAGTGCTCTGCAGTGCACGCCAATTGCTCGGTGACTTGTTTTAAATTTATAACCCATCTGAAAAATTTAACAAGTTAGAGAAACAATTTAGTTCAAGCTCATGGATTGTGCAGGTTTATGCAGTTCAGTTTCTACGAGGAAAATTTTCTATTTTTCATCCAACATATCTAGTTGAGATCAACTTTAATCCATCCGTTAACTAAAGAGCAACTTTACATAGAAAACAGAAAATAAACCAAGAGGGAAATTTTTGTTCATGTTGGATTTGGACTTGGGAATTTGTGTCCCAAATTGGCCTCCATGTCTTAAATATATATATATATATATATATTATTGTATAATATCAGAAAATTTTTTTTATTGTGACCTTTTGCATTCACCTTCTGAGTTTTAAATTTATAAATGTATGACAAAGAGAGTTATTATCAGGTCAAATTTTGATCGAAGTCAAATTAATAAAAGAATAATTAAGTCGTGTTCAGCAATAACTTTTTAAGTAGCTTTTAAAGTTTTTATGAGTCAAAATACTAAATATTATTTTTGTAGTATTCAGTAATATAGTGTTTAGAAATTAAGATAATCTTTTATAATTTCATAAAAATTAACTCATTTAACGTTTATCTTTTAATATTTTATGAGAAATTTTATGAAAAGCTATTAAAACAGTTAACAGATAAACGCTATCAAAACAACTAAGAGCTACTAAATAATAGCTAATTTTTGAACAACTCTTAATGCATAATCAATCTTTGATTTGAACAACCGTCCATATTAGTTCTTCTTTAACATACATAAATGGAAAGGTACATATCTTTGAAACACATATCAACTTGAAAGAGACTTCTTACCAAAAAAAAAAAAAAAAAAAAAAACATACATAAATGGAAAGGTACATATCTTTGAAACACATTTTATCAACGTTTGAAAGGAGACTTCTACCAAAAAAAAAAAAAAAAAAAAATCAAACGTAAAAGTTAAGGACATTTTAATACTTAGGTAACATGTCCCAAACTTCACTTAAATTGCCATTTAATCATTCAAGTAGGGGAAAAAAAAAAAAAAAAAAAAAATCAAACGTAAAAGTAGACATTTAATACTAGGTACATGTCCAACTTCACTTAAATTGCCATAATCATTCAAGTAGGAATTGTGATAATAAAGTTAAGCTCAGAAACACCCTCATTAAAAGATGGGATTGCCACAACAAATCCATCATTAGCTCCACCAATCCAATACGAAACCCTAGCAGGTGTATTGCCTTCTCTGAAACTTACCTCATTAGTCCCTAAATAATCCTTCAAATTTGAACAATCTATCACTTGATTACTCTTCAAATGGGACTTCCCGAGCTCATAATATTTCTTGCCATTTTCAAATTTCATAACTTGAGGAGATTCTTTCACAAGAAAATTGAAATCTGATGACATTATTTGGTTACCAAGTTTCTGCTCTGCCTCCTCGATGCAGAGCAATGCAAGATTCTTGCAGGAGTCATTCTTGATGTCCATAATTTCATTACTCGTGATCTTGAAAGTCAGAATTTGGCCATAATAGTCACTTGGAACAGGCTTAAAGCTGCCATTAACGTTTAAATTGGGTGGTTTAAGATTAGGGAGGTAAAATATAGGTACCTTATTGATTTCACCATTTTTGGAGAGAATTTCTTTTTGAATGTTTGCCCATTTTTGAAGAAAGTTTTCCATTATTAGAAAATCTGCCAAAAGAATGCTGCAACTAATCCCAATTGAGTATCCTCCACATTGGAAGTTTGTTACCTGCAAAAGAAGAGGGGAAAAAAAAACCCAAAATTTAATTTTTTGAAAGAGATGCAATAACCCAGAATTTAAATGATCATAAGAGGAGTTAAATTTATAACAATTGAAAATAATTTCACTTGCCTGAACATAAAAAAGTGGAGAAAACTGAGGATTTTGTTCATCGATGTTCTTCCAAAACACTAGCTCAGCTTCTGCAATATCTTTATCTCTGACATTAAGAAAATCTTGGAGGGTCGTACTAATTTTTGCTTCAAGAAGCCTAGCTCCACTGTCATTTGATATAATTTCAAGCTCTCCATCACCATTTTCACCTCTCCTTAAACGTCCACTAAGCATTGGCTGCTCTTTCAAAGCTCGACCTAAAGATTCCTTAATCCAACCAGCAACGATCCAACCCGAGTCATCCTCCATATCCTTATTATAAAAAAGGACGATGTTAAGGCAACCCCGGAAAATTCCTGACCCAATCGACGGTGTCTCTGTAACTGAAACCAGCCGTATCTCTCTTGGGTCGGTCACCTTGAAGGGTGGAACCGATTGGACAGCTTCGATATGGGCTTTGGGAACAGCATTATCAGAAGAGTAGGGCATTGCCATCTTAGGTAATATGAGAAAGCATATGACGAGTGGTTTGCTTTATAAGGATATATAAATATAAAAACTTCCCAACAACAGGAGCAAAAAAAAAAAAAAAAAAAATTGTTGTAATTTAATATCAATTTTAAATATTTGAAATCAATGAAATTTCACCCAAAAAAAAAAATTATTATGAAAATGCTATTTACAGGAGAAAAAAAAAAAAAAAAAAAAATTGTATTTATATCATTAATATTTGATCATGAAATTTCACCCAAAAAAAAAAATTATTATGAAAATTGCTATTTGGTCCCCATGTACAATCATTTGACTTGCTTTGATGATAATTAGTATCTTAATTTAATTACAGAGTTATGATTTTTACAATCCTGAAAACAATTATAGTAGCCAATGAAGTCCAGACCTAGGAGTCAAAGTTAATAGACAAAAATTGAAGAAAAAAAAAATTACATCATTGGTCCTCTGCCTTTTGTATCTTCTAAATTTAATTCCTATCCTCATCATCATTTAATATGTAATTTTTGTATTTTATGAATTAAATTGAATCGGGAATTTTAATTTATGAAAAATGGATATAAAGAAATTGAATCAAATACTACAAGAGGTGGAAAAACCGACCGAAGCACAATTAATTAATACATACATTAATAATTTTTTTTAATCGTATTGTAAATGTAAATTTAATGTAAAATATGCAGGTGAATTATGATACCAATAATTATTCATATATATATATATATATATATTAACAATTATTTAATTCCGTGTTGGATTCAAAATGTAGAAAATGGGGAGGAGGGTGATCTGGATAAAGTTCCTTTTTATCAGCAAAATATGTGTCAACTGCTAATTGGCTGGTTAATAGGTTGCAGTTGTAAGAGATGGTTAGCTGGTAAATCTGGATTGTTTGCTGGTAAACCAAACATAACATACTCTTTCCTTAAAAAAATTAAATTAGTGTAGTCCTGAATTAGTTAGTTGTAAGAGGAAAGGAAGGTACTTTAGACAAAATTGCAAATTTTGGTTACCCAAAATGGTACGGACCTTATTCTTTAAGTTATAATATTTTCTATGTCCATTTTATTCACGTATTAAAATTTTTAACTCTTTAAAATATTAATAAAATTCATTCATTTAACGAATGATCATAAAAATTATCATAGAAAAAATAATTGTTTACATATATAAATTTAAAAATATTGAAAACATTTTGAGACATCGAACAAAAAAGGTTGTAGAGAGTAGTGCAAGATGTGCTTACTTTGACTTAGGCGGCTCCCATGCTTGGTCACTACCCTAAGAGATCACAAGCACAGGTCTGACTTTCCCGTCTAAGCCTACTGACCTTACTCCAAAAAATAACAAGCAAACAATATTGAGAAGAAGAACTTTTGTTTTTTCTTTCCAAAGGCATCGATGGTAGTGGCATCATGCTAAATTCTACTTTTTAGGAGCATTACTAATGTTTTCAGTTTAGCCCTAGATCATTATTTTCATTTTTTTTTTTTTTTACCACTAGTTGCAAAGTCTTACTGAGTCAACTAGGTAATCGACTCGAAATTACAGATCTGAGAAATTAATACTACAATATAGTTGGGGCATTGTTTGGTGCAAAACTTGGTTGGCCATCCTACAACGGTAAATTAAATGCAAATGCTGGTGATATAAATGGTGATAAAGTTATTTATCATGTGCCAAATACATGTAATTAAAATTTTAAATTATATATACCAATTTCGAGTCTCAAAAGATTTTATGATTTGTGCGCTTTTTAGGAAGATTAACCTTTTGATATTCAACTCACAATATTATATTCATTAATTAGATATTTAAAAAAATGTTTTATATATTATGTAATATGAGATACAAATAATTAATAAACTGTTTCATATTTTTACATAACAATACTTTTTCCATATCCAATTGATAGAAATACTTTCTATTTTACAAGAATTAAGAAAAACTAGTTGTTTTAATTAGAAATATAAATTTGTATATTTTTTTCCTATTATATCCTTATTTTAATTTGGGACAAATAGAAAAAAAAAAAATTGTGTCTATCAATTAGTAACGGAGAGAGTATCATTATATTTACCCAAATTGAGAACAATTGAGGAGGAAGTGCAGAGTTTTATTGAATTTATACAAAGATTTTTTGAACAAAAATTGTTTCATTTTTGAAACTTTATCATCAATTTATTGCAACGCATTGTAAGGGCAATTTTAATGATAAAAATTGAAGATATTTAAGTTTTACGTTAAAATTAAAATAAAAACTTAAATTGAATGTAATTGTAAAATTTGAGCTTGATTGATTAAATAATCATATAGTATTTTGGATTTTTTTTAATAGAAACTTGAATATTCTATATGTTCTCAAATTTTATTGTATACATAAATCTATAAAAGTGTAAATGAATAGTAATTATCTCAAATGAATACAAATCTAATATTAATTTAAAATTCAAATTTATAAAAAAAATACATTTTTGTTAAATTTAAATCTTCAATTTTTTTTTCAGAAAAAAAAACATCATTTGAAACGACTAATTATTTAAATAAAAATTCTAAATACATTTCAAATAAATATATCCAATGAGAAGTTGGGAGAGTGGAAACATTCACAGCTGGGAATTGGGATAATAGGCACAAAACCTTGTCAAAGTTCGGTTAACGTTATGGTCAAATAAATTCCACGGAGTCTCTAACTAACCACCAACTTTTTTTTCTAACCACCAACTACCTTATTATCTTCTCCATCCAACCTGAAAACAGCAATCATTTTTCCAACAGTATCAAATTAAATTATTTATTAAGACGGTTACATATCAGTATAATGATAAACTCTAAAATTGATTAATAATTTATAACACTAAAAATAATAACGGGAAAGACAATCAAAATATACTAACACAAAATACCAAATAAAATTGTATTGATAAGAAGCAAACTTTCACAAAACTTAAAGAAAGAATTAGTTACTTGATTTTTGGACTTGGTTTTTGCTTGGTTGGTTACAAATGAGGTGAGGGGTGATATTTATAGGCATTTACACCTCCTTAATGTACGGCTATGATTTACTTACAAAAATGTACGGTAGAGATTACATGGAGCATTCTAGAGTATGTGAGATATTTCATTAATCTTATGGGTGGAAGTATTCTAGAATGTCTTAGGTATTTACACACCATGTAGGCTTGGGACATCTATCTTTTGACTTATGGTTTCCACCTTTCAAATTGAAACTTGCTAAGTATTTAACTTATTGTTGTAGTCTATTTTGGTAGTTGTCTTCTCTAAACTAGTCGGTAATATTTTAATACAGACAACCTAACAAAACACAGATAAGCCGGTGAATAAAACCAACTTCAATAGATACGCATTAGCATGGAGCATCAAACCAAACTGTTGCTCTCCAATTTTCTTTTCTTTTCTTTTTGCAGACTCAACTAAAGCACCAATTCTATGGACATTTAGTCGAACATTTTCTGCGCATCACTCGTTCTGCCACGTTCATTTTGCATGTTCACATTCATTTTGCATGTTTGAAGGCGGAAAGCGTATAATTGAGGAAACCCTTCCAAAAAAAGGTACAAAAACAAATTTTATTTGAAAAATTTACTATTTCATTCTTATATTTTATGAAAATATTTGATTATACACTTGCATTTTTTAGAAATACATAATTTTATCCCTATTTGCTTTTGTCTTAATGTTATTCTTCTGTCTGTTAAATATAAAGATAGATTAGTTAACTTTATAAAATATAAAAACAAAATAGTTAATAAAAATAGTGACTAATTAGTTAATTTTGCCAAAATGTAAGCACAAGTATAAAAAACTATGTGTAAGTAAAGTAAAAATATAGACAAGTATGTGTTTTTAAAAAGGAACAGGCAATATTGCATATTACGAAAAACACTGAGATAAAATCATAATTTTCCCTTTTTGTTTAGAATGCAAAATTTGATGGGCCAATATCCTAATTCATGGGCCACTAAACTGCACGGCAGAATAGCGTTGTTTAAAATAAAAATGATGGGCTTAATTTCCAACCATAACCATAATCAAAGCCCAATGTCAAAGCTCACCAAAAATATCTTTTCCTTTTCCCGGTAAAAGTAAGGTTGAAAACCATTCCGTTTCCGTTTCATTTCCACCACTTAATTTCCATAACCCAACTCCTCCTATTCGAAACATCAATGGCTATAGCCTCTTCCTCTTTTCCTCTGATACCATTTCAACAAAGCCGATCGTCTTTTCTGGTCCGCACCAGAACTAAACCCAAGTCTTTCTCGATCATTAGAGCTGTGAAAACTGATGTTTTTAAGGAGGATATTGTCATTGTAGGTGCTGGGATTGCTGGCCTCGCCACTGCAGTTTCTCTTCAGAGGTCAGAATTCAGATTAGCCAATTAAGGCCATGTTTGGTGTAGCCTTAGATATTCAATTGCTCCTATAAATTTAATTGAATGGAATTCAATATAGTTATTCTAAATTCTAGCATTTTATATATAAATTTTATACTTCAAGCAATTTTATTTTATTTATATGAAGTAGTAGTTGATAAATTATGTTCAGGCTTGGAATTCGATCCTTGGTGGTGGAGCAGGCAGAATCACTTCGAACTGGTGGAACCTCACTTACCCTTTTCAAAAATGGATGGAGGGTATTGGATGCAATCGGAGTTGGAAGTGATCTCAGGAGCCAGTTTCTTGAAATTCAAGGGTGTGTATTTTCCTCTTCTGCTTTAATTGTGCTTTTTAGACATACATTATGAATGTTTTTAAACTGTACAACTTGTTCATGTGATCAGCTGTGCAGGATGGTGGTGAAGTCAGAAGATGGAAGAGAGCTTCGATCTTTCCGGTTTAAAGATGAAGATGAAAGGTATAGAGTGTGTTATTAAATCTAATTCAATCTGACTAGAATTTGTTTTGATTTCTGATTTGCTAATTTGAATCACTTGATGGCTTAGCCAAGAAGTTCGTGCAGTAGAGAGAAGAATTTGGTGGTGAAGTCAGAAGATGGAAGAGAGCTTCGATCTTTCCGGTTTAAAGATGAAGATGAAAGGTATAGAGTGTGTTATTAAATCTAATTCAATCTGACTAGAATTTGTTTTGATTTCTGATTTGCTAATTTGAATCACTTGATGGCTTAGCCAAGAAGTTCGTGCAGTAGAGAGAAGAATTCTTCTGGAGACTCTTGCCAATCAGCTGCCAACAGATGCTGTCCGTTTCTCTTCAGGGTTGGAAAAGATTGAGAAAAGTGAAAGTGGAGAAACTTCCCTGAAACTAAAAGATGGAACCCAGATACTTGCAAATGTTGGTTAATCGAGTGTTGCTTTTCTGTTTATACAGTTCATTGTCAAAGCTGTTCATAAGCCATGCTCAATTTTTGACAGATTGTTATTGGCTGTGATGGTATTCGATCTCCAGTTGCCAATTGGATGGGATTCTCCGAACCTAAGTATGTCGGGCATTGTGCATTCCGCGGACTAGGGTTTTATGCCAAAGGACAGCCATTTGAACCGAGAGTGAATTATGTCTATGGAAGGGGATTACGTGCCGGATATGTTCCTGTTTCTCCGACCAAAGTGTACTGGTTCATCTGCTTCAACAGCCCATCTCCAGGTAAACATAATCCAAATCCTGCATAATATGATTTCCGCTAATCAACAATTAATCCTTACTATAACTATAATAAAATTATACTGTAAATTGCAGGTCCAAAAATTACTGATCCATCTGAGTTGAAGAAACAAGCTAAGGAATTAGTCAACAACTGGCCTCCCGAGCTGCTTAACCTGATAGATCTATCCCCAGACGAAACATTAAGCAAAACTCCTCTTGTAGATCGTTGGCTATGGCCAGCCATAAGCCCTTCTGCTTCATTGGGGAGGGTTGTGCTGGTTGGAGATGCATGGCACCCAATGACTCCCAATCTAGGACAAGGTGCTTGTTGTGCATTGGAGGATTCTGTAGTTCTAGCAAGAAAGCTTGCAGATGCTATTGCCTCTGGACCCGCTCCTATAGAAGAAGCTTTTAGGTCATATGGGAGCGAAAGATGGCCTCGTATCTTCCCATTAACTATTCGTGCAAATCTTGTTGGATCACTGTTGCAGTGGGAGGACCCAATTGTTTGCAGTGTTAGGAACAATGTTGTCATACCTAAGCTAGTCAGGCTTGGACCAATCATGGAACACACAAATTTTGAATGTGAGCCTCTGCTGAAAGCAAATTGATGAAACTTCAGGACAAAGAGGAGATACAAAGGAGAATAGGAAACCAGTGAATCAAGAGCCCTCTATATGTTGTAAATGTAATTCGTTTTTTTTTTTTGATAAAATGTAAAAATATATTAGATCCCAGAGAGAGAATATACATCAATAGGAGGGGCATTCCCCAACAATAATAGACACCACAAGAACAAGAAAATCAGTAGTACAAAAGAGGAGACCAAAACAGGTAGGTACAAGATAGACACCACAAGAACAAGAAAATCAGTAGTACAAAAGAGGAGACCAAAACAGGTAGGTCTCAAAACTCGATAGCAATGCTAGGGAAAATTTTATATAAAATCCGATAAACCATAATCTGGATCTTAACAAAAATGTCTCTCGTGGAGAATTTTTTACCTTCAAAGTACATCTCATTCCGACATTTCTAAAGCATATAAACTGTGGTGACAAAAGCTAATTTGAAAGCAGTTGCCTTCACTCTAGTCCCCCGCTGCTCATGATGCAAAATCCTTGCTGAACGTGACGGAGTAGACATCTCCCTCGTAATGCCCAGCCACTACCTCACTCTCATCCAAACTCCTGTTGATACCGTGCATGAGAAAAAGAGGTGATTAACAGACTCTGTAGTATCCTGGCATAGTCTGCAGCGACGATCAATCTCCAGGAAATCAAGTCTGTCCATGGTCGGTAGTCTGTTACGAAAAGCAAGCCATGCAATGAAAGTAAACTTCGGTGGGATGTAAGACTTCCAAATCAGTTGCATCCATGGGAGCTTCTCCCCTTTGACTCGGATTAGATCATAGACTTTCCCAGAGCAAAGCTTTCCATTCACCATAAACCCTTGGAGGACTTCAATAACACGAACCACACTTCCGCATCTGTCAATCAAACAATCACGAATTTGGGCTAGCTTCTTCAGAAGTTGAGAATCTCTTATGTGAGGTTGATAGTCCCAAATACTTCTCCCATCTAAATAAACACCAAATAAACACCACGAACCCATTTCACCCATAATGTATCCTTCTGCATATGCACATTCCAGAGAACCTTGACAAGTAGTGCCTTATTCCACACAAGACAGTCTCTCAACCCAAGTCCTCCCTCATCCTTTGGAAGGCATAAGTCATCCCATGCAACTTTCGAGAACTTACCCCCCCAAAGGAAGACTCGACACATAGAGGTTATCCGGGCAAGAAGCGTGGTATGAACTGGGAACACCTGTAGCCAAAAGGAACTGGGAACACCTGTAGCCAAAAGGATTGAACCCCTTGAATGACCGCCTTAACCAACTCCAGCCGACCTGCATAAGAAAGGGATTTGGCATTCCAAGCTGTAATAAAGTCCTCAATAGTACGAATGAGGGGGTCAAATTCCATTATCTTCACCGTCTGAGGGGAAAGGGGAACCCCCAAGTAGCGAACCGGGAAAGTCCCTTCCGGATAAGAAACAATGTGGAGAATCAAATCCTTCTCAACTCCAGCCAGCCCTCCCAAAAAGATGTTAGACTTCGTTGGACTCATCACAAGTCCAGAAGCCTTCTCGAAGTCCCTTAGAGTCTGCACAAGAGTACTAACACAAGAGTAAACTAAACCGAACCATATGATCACCCCTAAGAGAAAAAGCATCAGAATCATAGAGAAAAGCATCAGATCATCTGCAAAAGCGAAATGAGAAATGCAGAGCTTTGCACACTTCGGATGGAAGTTGAAAGCCCCATTTCTAGTTCTCAAGCTAAGCATCCGTGATAAATACTCCATACAAATAATGAAAAGAGAAGGGGACATAGGATCACCCTGTCGAAGGCCCCTAGCGCCCTTAAAGTGACCATGCAAGGAACCATTTACCATCACTGAGAATGAGGACGTGGTGACACACTCCATAATCCAAGCTACAAAAGTGGACGGGAAACCAATCCCCAGTAAAGTCGCATTAAGAAAAGACCAGGACACTGTGTCATATACCTTTGAGATATCCAACTTGATCATACACCTGGGAGAAATACGCTTCCTAGCATATCCACGGGCCAACTCTTGTGCTAAGAAAATATTCTCAACCATACCCCTACCAGGGACGAAAGCCACCTGCGCTCGATCAATTATCCCATCCAGCAGGGGTACCATTCTATCATTTAGGATTTTGGTAATAATTTTATATAGGACATTGGTACATGAAATGGGCCTGAAGTCCGAAACCCCCTGGTTATGGGTCTTCTTTGGGATAAGAGAAATAGCTGTATGGTTTACCTGTTTTAGGATTGAACCAAAGACGAAGAATTCCTGAACAGCTGCCACAATGTCACCACCAATCAAGGACCACTGACTCTTAAAGAATCCTGATGAATATCCATCCGGACCCGGTGCTTTATCACTCTCAATATCAAAAAGCGCCTGCCGAATCTCCTCTTCTGTAACCGGCCTAACGAGGTATGAGTGTTCCTCACTAGGCACACATGGCCCAGATGACCAGACATCGGAGTCAACGGGATCAACAGAAGGATTAGTGCCCAAAAGCCCCTTATAGTAATCCACAAGGAGTTGAGCCACCTCGTCCAATGAAGTAATAGAAGACCGATCTGCTCTCATAAGATTTGCAATAAAATTCTTAGCACCCCTCTTATTGCCCCTCTTCTTGACAATGGAATGAAAATACCTGGTGGATTTGTCTGCCTTCATAATATGGTCACACTTTGCTTTCTGTTTATAAAACAAGCACTCTGCATTTTCAAGAAAGCTCGCCTTCCTTAGTTTTTCTGTCACTAACTCCAACAGAGCAATATTCGTGGGATCCAGCTGAAGAGACTCATAAGCACTTTTGAAATCATCCACTGCACACCTTGTTCTTTCAGAAATATTTCCAAACTCATTTTTGTTAAGCCTTTTAAGAGGGGACTTAAGAAATTTGAGTTTGGAGCATATGATGTACCGAGCCGATCCATGAACATGCTGACTCCAACAATCTGCTACAATGTTACGAAAATCCATGTGCTTAATCCACATATTAAAAAACCTAAATGGTTTATACCCTGTACCAGCTGTCGAAATAAGAGAAGTGATAATCATCGGGAAGTGATAATCGGAGGGTGTGGGTCTTTGGATCCCTGGCTCCATCGCAGAAATTGGAGAGAAACACAGGGTATGTAGGCCATAGATCTCCTGCTGCATTCCACCATGGAACCCTATCAAGTTCGCCCAATTTGTGCCTTTTTCCATGGTTAAAGACAGTCCCGTAGAAAGCGGAACAATCCTCCAGACCAAGTCCCATCTGATAAATTAACAAAATCATTAAGAACAACGAGTGGGGTTGTTGGATCCCATTCTTTCATCCACAGACGCAAACACAATTGGAAGTCCTAAACAAAGTCCACGGAGTATCAAACCCATCCTGCATGGCATATGAGGTGGTCCCCACAACTCACGCCTCTTCACCCTACACTATACAAAGCATAACACCACAATACCTGAAAGGGAAATATTAGTTAACACAAAAGTCACACAACACCGAAATATTAGTAACACAACAAGTCACACAACACCGAATATATTGTTCTCCAACAGACACCACCATATTAGTAACACAACAAGTCACACAACACCGAATATATTGTTCTCCAACAGACACCACCTGACAGATAACAACACCCGGGTCCCAAGCAACAACAATACGGCCCCCCCGATAGACATCAAATTTGTGTGCATGATTCCACCGGGGGAGTTTATTAAGTAAAAAGAAATCAAGATTTTCATGATTTAGCTTGGTTTCAAGTAAAGCACAAAAAGAAATTCCATGACTGCGAATTAGGCGCTGAACCCCTCTTTGTCTAGGGGATGAGTTCAACCCCCGGACATTCCAACTAAGCATCTTCATTTAGAACGTGAGGCCTTGGCGCCTCCATCTCCATAATTTTCGTCCTTTACAACTCTAGAAGGAACAATAATATTCTTGCCATACTGTATAACATCATCATTAGTAGCCACCAATTTACCATTTACCTTGGTACGCCAATGTAAATTGGAGATTTCTGCCGAAGTGCACTGCATGCCGCCTAAAATTGCTTTTTGCTGTTGCTTGCCATCAGGCCTGCTAGAACCCACCAAAGGCTGCTTCAAGCCTCCATTACTAACTGTTGCTTTTAGGGGCTGTTTGTTGCCAGGATCCTTGGGGGGGTGCTGTTGAGTACTACCAGGGACTTGGCCTGAGAAGGATTGTGCACTGTTGGGAAGCTGGCCAATAGGTGTTGTGGTACGTCCATCCTCAACACCAACACCCTTAAGTGCAGATTCAGCATCATGGGCAGGGACAGAGAGGGGCTTTTTTCCAGATAATTCCTTTGGTTTTGCAGCAACTAGGTCCTCCTTTTCTATCTTCTTACGATGGTTCTCTAAGCACTTACAGTTAAAACAATGATGGCCATATTTCTTACAAAACCAGCAGTAATTAGGATAAGTCTCAAAGTGCACTTCTTGGATATAGTTGACTCCCTTTGGAAAACGAACAGTAAAAGAAGTAGTCGGTGGTTGGGAAACATCCACATTCACCAGGACCCTTGCAAATGCTATTTTTTCAAGCGATTTCGTTATTTTATCCGTAACACAAGGCACACCAATTCGGGATGCAATTTTGCTTATTGCCTCTGGTCCCCAACAATTTATAGGCAAGTCATGAAGTTGTACCCAAATTGGAACCATCATAAATTCATCATGTTTGAAAGTGAAACCATATGGTAGTTCACGAAGGAAGAGGGATTTTCCATACAAATGGTAGTTTTCACTCGAACGGCACAGAAGGCGATTTTCATACAAGTCAACTAGGGTCCCGAGCAAAAACTGAATGCTACGGCTCCTTTCTTCTTCGGTTTCGACAAGGAACACACAGATCCCCACCCACCCCCCGGTGGTGAGGTAGTAGTCTTACACCTTGAACTACCCCATGGATAATCCAAAGGCTTTGGGACAGCCCACATCCCTGGGATACCTCCCTCCCGTGAAGCTACCTACCAGCACACCAACCCCCATGCTCTTTTCCACATTCACCAAGTCCCCTTCATACCACGCAACAAAGCTTCGCGCAGTCTCCCGACACTCAACTTTCTGTAACCTTTGAACCCTTGTCTAGGTTCTCGCAGGTGTGCCGCTTATAACTAGTTCGACGTAATGTTGGTTTTGTTTCTATTAGCGAGCACATTAGTTCCTGTAGTCCTTCCTTCATATCACAAGGCCATTTATAGGCGGAACACCTGGTGGCCTGAAATAAACCTCCTCTTCACCTCAGTATTCATATGTCTATTATCTTCGAGTTTTCTTGGTATTCTTATCACCATAACGCGTCACCCACAGGGACTTAACCAAACAGAAGACCATCTAATACTCCTGAGA